GTCCAATATGGAGATACACACGTTGATTGTTGAAGTGACAATGATAATGGCGGATGTCGATATGACAGCATTCTACATCAAAATGGGTATATAAGTATAATTTTTGAAACATCCTCCCCATTTGGATCAGACGTAGAATATGACTAATACAGAAAACTGATTATTGGCGAGGGCTTGGGACAGATCTCGGTCATCATTCATGGGCGTCTTGGTAACGCTTAGGAGGACGCTTGGAACGCCTGGGTCTCTGCATAGAACCATTACTCTTTGCAGACAAAGAGGTACTTCTAGGGTCACTGGCTGTTGTTTCAGGTACACCAGAACTTGCGGATTGCTGCGTTGGCTTTGGGTCTTTTGGGATAGCCCCTTTGGCTTCATCTGAGATACCTTTCTGCAACGTGGTTGAAGGTCGTCCTCTACTACGTAACTCATATAGAGGTGTTATAGGCGAATTGGAATCATCCTCCATAAAAGAATGGAGAGCAAATACATGGTACTTTCCAATTGCTATATCCGGGTGCGTTAGACTTGCTAACTCGTACGAAGTAGGAGAACGTTGATTGGGGATAAGGTATGGGCCATCGCGACGCGGCGCAAATTTGGAAGACAGTCCTGCATTACTCTTACTAAGGATGTAAGTCTTTATGAGAACTTTCTGTCCTTTGTAAAATAAAACGGTTTCGCAAAAGGGTTTATCTGCGTACAGTTTCGAAGCGTCTTGGCGTAACTCATTATTCTCACGCGCACTTAGTAAAATATCTGTATGTCTGCGCAAGTACGGCGTTGTCTCAGGAATTTCACTCGCGATAATAGCTCGTAAGTCTTTATGCACATCTGTGGGCGTACGTAGCTCACGAGCAAAGTTCAAATAAGCCGGCGAATAACGGGTAACTAAATTTGGACCGTATTCGTGGAAAAACGAGTAGCACTGCAAAAATCCATCTGTTTTCTTTTTCAATTACAGGTAGTGGACCCACTAAATCAATTACAACGCATTCAAAGCGTTGTGCCAACATAGTTGTTTGGAACAGACCTTCTGGTTTCAGATTCAAAGGTTTATACCTCTGGCAGTCGCTGCATTTCTTTACGACATTTCGCATAATAGCAGGCCAGTAGTAACGAAAAGCAATTCTTTGAATTGTCTTTTCAACACCATAATGTCCTGCGATAGGCATGTCATGGCACTATTTCAAAACATCGGCTATTTTACTTTGAGGCACTACTAACTGAGCGTCCTTACACTCAAGACCTTGATATATCGATACAAGACTCCTTGATTCATGACATAACCGCGATCAGTATATCTGGTGATGTCTACTAATTCAGGTTCTTCCGATTCAAGGCAATCAATAATTATTTTAAGCTGTGAGTCAGTGAACTGTTCCTCTCTAAGTTTTTTATTGCATATCGTTAGTACATCCATTGCGATAGTACAGATGTCACAAATATCTTTCGTGTCTGAACCACAGATAGGCGTTGATAACATATCGACAATACGATTTGTTCGTTCAGGAACATATTCAATTCGTAAGTCATAACTTGGCACTTCCAATGACCATCTAGCAAGGCGGCTAGTAGAAGATTTTAGTGACATCAATCATTTCATGGTTGATGATCTGTTTTGACAATAATAGGCGAACTTTCTATGTAACCCCAGAATGTATTAATTGCATATACTATATCTAAAGCTTCTCGCTCTATCGTACTATAGTTACGTTCAGCCGCTGTGAGTAAGCAACTTGCATACTCTGTCGGCTTTTCATTTTATTCCTCCCCCTGGAGGAGACATGCGCCAAATGCATACGAACTCGCGTCTGGTTTTATTATAAAAGAGTTTATAAAAGTTGCTTGTTGCAGAATAGGAGCCTGCAAAACAAATGCTACATTCTTCTTAGTTAAGTCTGAAAGAGGTTTGGATATACCTACGAAGTTTGGCACAAAACGTCGAAACCAACTACAAATTTGTAAAAATGATAAGACATGTTTAACATTGCGTGGTATAGGCATGCCAGCAATTGCTGGTATCTTCCCACGATCAGGGCAGATCCCATTGGGCGTCAGAACGTGTCCTAAATACTTGACAGAAGAACGCACAAAAGTACATGGTAATCCGCTACGAAAACGAGCAATAAGCCTTTGAAACGTAGCAAGCGCGTTTCGGAGACCAAAAGGCATACGATTAAAATCCACAAGGAAACTAAGTTCCTGTAGCTGGCTGTATACCATGTATCACAAAAAAATTATTTAAAATCCTTTATAAAAGGTATATAATTATATATATAATATGTATACATTTAAATCGATTAAATCTAAAAATACCAAAAGGATTAATAAAAGAAGTTTTATCTCGAACTGATGGACGAACCACTTTTCAAATCTAGTGTTGTCATAAATAGTGTCTGTGTTGTCGCATGCAACAGATCGTCTATCCTCGGTAGAGGATACCTATCTGGTACAGTTATTTCGTTGAGGCCTTTGTAATCGACGCACATGCGAAAAGTACCGTCTTTTTTAGGAACAAGCACCCTAGGTGCAGCAGATAGGCGAGTAAGTAGTAAGCTCAGGTAAGCCGAGTCAGATTCATCAATAATTTTCATTTCCAATAAATGATGGATTTAATTTTTGAGTATTTCCGCTTTCTGAGAAGTTGCTGTACAGCGATACAGTGATAAGGAGGCACAGCGATTGGAATATCACTGGTTAAATTAACACAATGTTCAGCAAATGGTGTAGGTTCATTATGTTCCATAAAAACACCACTGTACTGATTTATCAAGCATTGTAAAGTACTACGCTCACTGCTCAGAAGTATTTAACTGTGAGGCTTGGTCCTGTTCCAAAGTGAGTTCAAAGAATGTTTATTGAAGCATTGCAGGAGTTAGATTCCCGTAATAATTTATGTTGAACATTAGGAGAATCAGCAAATGAGAATTTCATTTGAGGAATATTAATAATAATATCAGCATTTTTAAGAAGTCTATGCTAAGAAGAGTTTTTAGCTGATGTGTGCTCAGGAAATGCAATAAAAGTTGTAGGTATGGATCTATCTAATAGGAGAATCAAACATTCAAAAATATGAACTGTTACCGTGCGGCTTACACCGTCAGCAAGCACTAAACTCATTTCCTTGGAAACATAGTGTAGACCGTTGTTTAAACAATGATTGTATAGCTTAATTCCAGCTATAGTACATTTAGCTCCAGTATCAGCGTATGCGCAACCACTCAAACCTAAGACACTTATTGTTAAGAGGGGGCGATTATTCAAATTGATAAATTCTGTTAAAAGAACCTCTATAGTAGAGGCTACTTTTGTGGTAATAGGATTCACAGAAATTTTAAAGTTAGGGCAATTTGTGTGAATATAACCAGGAGTATTGCAACCATAACAAACTACAGTGGAAGAACGTTGATGAGGTACATTTGAATTGCTAGGATTCGTATTTAGACAAATAGGAGGTACATACGTGCTAACTGAATAATTAGAATTAGATTGCTTAGTTTTTGACTAAAAGTGTTCAATTTTCTGCATTCTGACTGAATATGGCCAAAATGTTTACAAAACGTACACTTCGATTTGAATTTTATTTTGCAAGAGTCCGTTTCTTGATTCGATTAAGGTTTTTGTGGACGATCACAGTCGGTAGCAACTAAACCGTCCTTTAAGGATGCTTTGGTTTTTCGAGATTCCATTAAAAGTTTTGAAATTTATCTGTTGGTACTCTTTTTCGTAATTTGCGTACTAGTAAGCCATAAACCATATCCAACTGAACCTCTTCAGTTAGGGTATAAGGTAATTGTGCAAGCGAAGCTCGAATATGGGAAACAAATAATTCAGTAGGTTCACTAGAATTTTGTTCACGCGAGAATACTTCTCGAAATAATAAATGACTCGGAAGTGTTTTCGAATAGGCATCTTTTAAAGCCTTTAAAGCATCTTCCCATGTGAGAACTGTATTTTCACTTCCATTTGTTTTACCTTGCCACCATGTAGCAGCAAAACCATTAAGCAGCATGGATAAACCTCGAAAGGCATTCTCGTCACTTATTTGGGAGCAGTATTACATTGTCAAGAAAAGCTTCAACATCAGCGTTAACACCATCAAAGCGAGCAGTACATTTAACGAATATCCACCTGACATATGTGTAGGAGTTCTCGTAAGATCTCTGATTTGTACCAGAAGATCTTCAGATACTTGTTTATTAGAAGTACTGAAATTAAAGATTAAAACTGATCTTGGGAGATTGTCATCGTAGCAGGAGCAGAACACTCTCCTGATGTAGGATTTTGTGAACTGGTTTTCCAAAATATCAACCAAATATAAGGATCAGCTATATGCAATAAAAATTATTTTATTGTAAAAGTAAAAGGGCTATATAAGCAATGAAAGTTATTTTATTGAAAAAGTTTTATAATTACACGCAATAAATGTTATTTTATTGAAAAAGTTGTATAATTTTATATTTTAATTGAAAATCCGAACAAGTTGGATAAAATTTTACATTTGGCAACAAAATGTGGATAAAGTTTGAAGAACTATGAAATTATGTTAGACATAGGCAACACCGCGAAGAACGACAAACAAAAACCAGGAAAATTTTATCGAATAATCACAGAATACTAATCGAAATGAATCGATTTCTGTGCTACAGTCGTAAAGTCACCATATTATTGTCTTTTTGCTCGATGCCATTTGGGCACAGAATAATAAACAATCAGAATGCCCACTCTCCATGGAAAATTGTTTATTATTCTGTGGTTTGGGGGTACAATGCTGAAGTGGACAATAATAATTTCTGTACAATGGTAGGATTGTCCAATTTCGGACTTTGCTCGTAACATATACATTTCACTCCCACTTTCCAGTTTTCGGTGACTTCACGATTAAATTTTTTTCTTGATGTTATTCAGTAGTGGCTGCAAGCTCATTATGTATAGATATTCAACAAAAGAGAAGATTCACTCAACGTATATAATCTTGGCGCCAAATTTTGACACTTGCATAATTGTTTATTGGTCGTCCTTCCACACATTGTGAAATTTGTTTAGTGTTTTTTTATGCTTTTATAAACAGGCTTTTATTAAACAATACATTTTGAAACGTTATACAGAATGAGTACACTCCCTTCTTCCCCTGGTTTCAAGCAGTACAGGTAAGAAAAGTTATAAAATATACAAACTATCTGTTGTCTTTCCTTTGATGAATTACTCTGAGATCTTTTAATTTTAATAATTTGTTTAATTTATTTGATATTTATGCTACTAAACTAAACTTGTTAATTTCCTATTTATAACCTAGTTGTTTTATAATAAATTCCAAAATGATGTTCATCCATTAGAAATTTAATTTTATACTTAAGTATTGTTATTACTTTTGAGTTATGGTAAATTGTTATCAAAGAATATAGACGCTTATATTCGACGAATATAGCGTCTATATTCTTTGTTATTATATTAACTGATATATTATTAATTATATAACTAATAGTACTAGATTGAAGAACTTATTTATTGTAAGGAATTTTTTATTTACAATTCTAAAATTTCTAAATTCTTCTATTCTAAAATTCAGTTTATAAATATTGTTACCCCCATGCTGTAGATGTACCAAAGTGAATTATAAATAAATTTTGATTTTCAGATAAATGTCAAGTATTTTAAGATTATAATATTGCTTATGTGGGAAGTAAAAGTATTGTTGTGCTTAACCTTTACTCCATTCTTTTACTACTGGTATTATGTTTCATGATTAAGTTTGCTTAACATTCTTGTTATTTTTTCTTGGAGTTTGCATCTCTATATTACTATTACATGATTATTTGAAATTCTTTCTAAATGCTCTTTAGTCTTTTTGACTTTATAAATCCAACAATGTCAACAATCCTCTTTTTCATGAATGAATATTAACTGGCCTCATATTCCTTTAGACAGTTAAACATGGCGTTACATACTTCATGAATTATTTCTTAAATTGCTTGTTTCTAACAAAAATTGTGAATTTATAACTCAGGGATAAGAAAAAATACTAAAAAGATACAAAATTTACAACCTATCATCTAGACATATTTTTCCTAACTCATCTTTATCATTTATCGTCAAGCTCTTGTCAATTTACTTCAAAATGTTATTTACACAGTTTGTCCAAATCCTTAAATTTTTCAGGCTTGACAGGGATTTGTGATGGAAGTTCATTTGGTACAAAATAAAAATGTTGTTTTGCATCTAAGAGACTACAGAATGATTTTTTTTAGAAAAATCAATATCTTTGTCACTGAAAGCTGAAAATGTAATTTATAAAATTTCTTTACATTTGCAGCAACTGACGAATTAAAATCGAACACTAGAACATCAAGTTGTACATTGTGCAACAAATTTTACTGTTCCATGTTTGAAGAAAACATCTATGTGTTCTTGTGGCTAAATAATTGTCTTTTTTTTTTGAGGAACTTTTCAATATGACTAAAAACCTTATTGGGTGGAATGTATGAATGACCAATGTCTTTGAATATAAACTCCCAAATATTTAGTGAATATGGGAGATTTTTCTAGACAATATTTAGCAAGCATGCCTACTATTCTAATATGCAGTCTGAATATATTTCAGAAAAAATAAGAATTTACCTATATATCTGTTGGTTATTATAATGCCTTTCATACCTTTTTAACACTAAGAGCACTAGGAAAGTTTTCTCTTATACTATATTATTGAGTATAATGGGACAAGACACATTTTAGATTTTGAATATACTTCTTAAATATTTTTCCTTTTAAACATTTTTTTGACTTAATGTTACCAATGTGCCGCTTTTAAGGACTTTTCCAGTAGCTTGGCATTTTTGCTAAATTTTGAACTCTACATTTGGACATCTGAAGAATATTCAAGAAATTTTAACACAGATACATGTTGCTATTCATAGAATTTCATTGTCTATTTAATTTTTACATAAAAATTATAGTTTTCGATTTTCAAAATGATGTCCCTATAATTGCTATTTTTTCAAATAAAACAAAAAATATATTTAAAAATTGAAGTGTCTCAGCATTTCTTTCTAAAATGTCACACTTTTAAAATATTAAGGGTGGTTTCTTTTCAAATGAAACAAATATATTATTTTAACAATATGGTCCTAATCTAAATAAATAGGATGAAAATTGTTGCACTATCATATGCTGTTTTAAAAAACTGTGTTATGAGAATACCTGCTTAAATGTCCACTTTTAGCTTTATATGTGCTAATGTATCCATAATCTCTGTTCTGGCTTGTATAACTACATTTATCTACCTTCCAAGATTAATTGTAACACCAACTGCTCCATCTGACCTTTTACTCAAATTTTTAGTAGTTTTCTGTATGATAAGTTAATGCACTGTTTAAAAACCATTCTGCATTTAAAACCAATGAGGATATCTATGAATCAGTATTAAAAATAGCATTTATTATCTTACCGAAAGTACCTAATGCCTAATTTAATAACAAATGTATTGTTAGGGATTATATTTTACATATGTGGGTGTTTGTGTGGATAATTTTTAAACCTACCTTATTTGTTGCAATATTTAGGGTACTTACCAACACTTAATTATTTCTTTCTTAGAAGCACCTCATGGATTTCCTTACAATTGTCTGAACAATATCTCTATCAATGCTTAACTGGTTTTTCTTTTCACCATCAATGTTGATTTTTGATTAGAAAGAATAAAAATTCCCCTGTAAGTGCTATGGGATCTTTTCATGCTCTGTGTGTTTCTTTAATTCTTCAAATGGAGTATGATTAAATGGAAGCTGATAGCTCGACTCATTTCTTTAGCCCTCTCCCAACAGGAGGGGTTCTGCTGCAAATGACCATTTATTTCTTAGCTTTTTAAAAAGTATTCAAGACCAAATGACCATGTCAGAGATGAGAACTTCTCCTCTTGGGTCTACAGTCCCTTCTGTCTAGAGTCTTACTTAGTATAGAGCTCCCTTCTTAGAGTTTCATAGTGAAACTGGTGTATTTTGCCTTTTCTACTAGTCTCACTAATACCAATGATATTCCACTATATATGCTTTTATTTAATGAAATTGTCCCAGTATGATGGTATATGCAGTGGTCATCGACTTTGGTAGCATAATCTTGTCCAGTTATTATTAGCACCCCCTGTTGGGTAATATATAGTTACTAGAAAATATACAGATGTTTCCGAATTACTGGAAAATGAGGTCCTTACTTTTCTATCTTGAAAACTCATCACAGAAATTAGCCAATAATCTATTGAAATGTCTTATGCAGATTGATAGATTGTGGGTGATGTAATGAAGGAGTTTGAGCTGTTTTCCTCGTGATATGGAGAAAAGGAAAAAATATATAAGCTCATGTACACATGGCCCCTAAGTTCCTGAAGTCTATTAGGTCCTGAGGTCTATCCTTTATCTAAATCACAATACACATTATATAAAAAACATTTTTGAAAATTATAGCTATATTAAATATCTATAGTTTTAACATTAGAAACTTCATTTAATTTTCAATTTTTTACAGCAAAATTCATTTTGGCAACACTGTATATCATGAGAATGATGTCATACTTTTTACTGATTTGGATGGTCTAGAAGTAGGAATTATTAATTATATATATGACTCAAATGACGAAAATTTACTCAATATAAGAAAATATGTATTTGCTAGAAAATTAAATAAGGTCTTTAAGAAACAGGGATTAGAATATGATAAAAAGAATGAGGTAAGTTTAAAAAATAATTTTCCACATTTTTAATTGTAATTAGTATGTACAGGATGACAAGTGAGAAGTGGCTGGTCATCTGTGAGTAAATACAAGATTCATGAGATAGAATAGGCTTGTAGTCATGCTTGTTCCAAATGCAGTGTTGTCACATCAAAATTTATGTTTTTTGAATATTATGAATATTAATTATATATTCTATTTTCGTTTCATATCTTGCTCATTTTTCATCATTAGTGGTCAATATATCTGAAGCATATTTGATCTTTTTTTCATCTTTCTCTGTTTCCTTTTCTGTTTATATTTAATTAGCACAAGGTGGTGATCGGAATTGCTATTTGTCCCTCTGTGACTTCTCACATCTGAAATGTCTGTACCATGTCTTGCTTCTATTAAGACGTGGTTGATCTGATTTCTTGTTCTCATATCTGGAGAAACCCATGTTTCCTTGTGGACATTTTTATATGGAAATTTTGTACTGCTTATCACCATTTTTTTGTCTACTGTGAAATCTACAATTCTTTGCCTGTTGTTGTTACTTTTTTCATGCACGCTATGTACACCTATTGTTCCCTGATAATTCCTCTCTTCCTATTTTTGCTTTACATTTCCTAAAATTATTTTAACGCTATAATTGTTTATCTTTGATCCTTGGTCTAATCTGGCATAAAAATTTTCCTTTTCTTCCACTTATTTGACCTCTCTAGAAGCGAAGATTCGTTTCATTTTCAAAATAGCTATCCTTTCGTTAATTGTAGTAAAACTTTTTATCACATGCTTATATCTTTCACATATTATGAAACCCATCCCCTCTTGTTCACCTCGTGGGTTGCCGTGTCTAATTAGGTATTTTCCATATTCCCAGATGCCTTTGTTCTTCCATCTCATTTTCTGCAACGCTAATATATCTTGTAGATTTTTATTTGTCCAATGTTTTGTTCCACATTCCAATTAAAATTTTTCCACTTTTCTTCTTTCTGTTGTACTTATTCATATTTTTATTTGTTTTATCCTGTTTACTAGTCTCTGCAGTACATTCACTTTTTTTGTCACCAGTTGGATCCTTTCTGTTTCCGCGTTATTTGGTGTACTTTGCCTTTTAGCGTTAATTTGACTAAAGCTTGGAAAATTCTCTGATGTGCTTTCAGCGGTCAACCGATGATAACAGTCATGTTCGATACCTCAGATCTAATGATTTTTCCTGACTTTACAATTATGGGAAATTATACATTAATTTATTATTGCAGTTTGATCATTTTTCTGACCTACCTTTATTTTTACTCATATCCTTAAAGTTAACATCAATATTAAAATCAAAATGGTCAAAAGTTCTTATAAGAAAAATCACCATTATTTCTCTTAACTATTTTCACCAAATATAAATACTATCTATTTTACTTAAAGCATAAATGGTGTCTCCGATTTTTATTTGAACAATGTGTTGTATATTTTTCTGTTTAATTTTAACAATGTCTTCTTAAATTGACACAGTACATACAAATAGGCACATAATAAATATTATCTATAAATAAAGTACATTTTTGCAATTAATTACCTTTAATTATTTTTAGGTTGTTCAAGATTTAACCCAGTGTTATGACATATCAATAAAACAAATTATAAAAAAGTGCACAATAGCTTTTCTTTGCCCGGATGACAATGTATTTTATATTGAAAAAAATCAGTTTGATACAACAGAATGTTTTTCTTGTCGTTTTTCTATAAAAGGAAATCAACTCTTTCCTCTTGTTAATGAATCAAATACTTCTTTATCTGATAATACATTAATCACTCCAACAACAAAGATATTAAGTACGAAGAATAATACACCTCACCAAACAATGGCAGTAAATAATAATATCGAAGTCTGTTTTGACAATGAATACTATTCTCCTACACAACGCAACCTAGTGAAAAGAAATTTAAACAAATCTTTTGGAAATTCGCCATCATCAAAAAATAATTCAATACTAAATTATTCTATAGAATCATTATCAGACGACGATAACGATAATGAACGGTTGGTTCTCAAACTTAAACTTTCCAAGAATGCCAAGAATGCTCGAAGTCCAACAAAAAGAAATGCTATTCCAACTGAAAATACTGTTTCTAGTCCGCCCAAGATTAGAAAATCTGGAAGAAGTATTGCTAGGAAATCATATGCTGATTATCTGTCCCCAGTCAAAATTACGAAGTGTTCTGGGTTGGCCAAATCATCAGATGATGAAGACTATGAACCTACGAAATTCACTCCAAAACGCACACCAATTGTGAACAAAGAGAAACAAACGGTAATTTTTTTTAATAGATTTTTCAGGTATACTTTCAGTAAACTAATACTTTTTCACAAAAATAGTTAATTTGAAAAATATATGTGAAATGATTTTTATTAATTGATTTTTGTAAGAGTGAAAAATAATGACATATGTGAAACTCATAACTATTACTATTTTTAAGAGTATAACTTCTTCCAAAAGGAAAGTCAAACCTCCGCAACGTTATGCAGAAGAAAATAATTCTATATATCAAAGAACACCTAGAGGTACACCAGCTAGAAAGAGTTTGAGGTTGTCAATAGCAGAATCAAACAATTCTCCAACTAGAAGTTCACGGAGAAAGACGTTGTATTCTTCAAGCGAAGATGATAATTTAGGTGTCATTGGCGCTTTAGAAAGGTAAGTACATTTACTCGTAAAATAATCGATTTACCAAGAAAAATGTAGTTGAGATAATTAAAAAAAAATGTTTACTAGCACTTTTTGTGTAAAATGAACCGTTCTCTCAGAAATAACATTTGAAGTGGCCGTCGATTTTGAATGTCAGTTTTGCGCGCGAAATAGATATAGACAAAAATCAAAATGCGTTTTAAAGGTGAAGAGTGCAGTTTTCGTTTACAATTTTTGTATTTTATCACAAATGAAGTCAGTTTTTATAAATCTGTTCAATAAATAAATATGTTTATAAATTTATCAACTTTCATTAACCGGTCGTAGTGATGACTAAAGGCGGAGTCCCATGCATCCGATTTCCGACGACACGATGATCCGAAAGTATTCTCATTGGTCAAAATCAAATCAGAATATTTTCGCGCCGAATTTCATCCGAAATTTTTAACTACGCTTCCGACATCGGATAAAGATAAAATTATTTTAACTTTTTCCGACAAAACGGATGTTTTGTAACCTAAATTGTATTCTAATAGTTTAACATCTGTACATTATTTTATTGAAACATGAATTTTAATCGAAGAAGCTATGTTCGTAAAGTTAATAAAAAGCTGTTATTATGTCTGCTTCTTTTAATTTCCAAAAAAAATTATATATAACGTACAATTCGACAAAGAAAATATTGGGTTAGTTAAATATTTAAGGAAAAAAAGTCACAAGGGCTTTTAATAATCTATTGTACTCTTGCAGGAAATGAAGCTAAATGATGTTGACAAATATTTGCAATTACCTTAGAATGCGTAATTGCACATTTCATAAGCTACATAGTTTCTTCTACGTTATCCATTATAAACTGAGTAATTGAAAGCAGGAGAAGGGATTATTTACCATGCTGAAATAATCCCTTCTGCTGTTTTACTACGCAAAAGTGGTAAAATAGCAATTACCAGCCAAACCACCAAACAATAAACAAAAAATTGACCGTTGACAGTTTATACGGATTTTCCATGTTGGAAATGTTGATTTCACGGAAATAATAAAAAATGCAAAAATCGTGCCACATTTATTTATTTAACACCTTTATAAAAACTGAGCTCATTTGCGGCAAAATACAAAAATTGTATACAAAATCTGCACTCTTTATCTTTAAAATGCATCTTGAATAATGTATCTAGGATATTCTGATCAAAAGATATCGAATTTTTACCGTCGAGCTGATACAAATTTTATTAAACATTGATTTCGCGCGCAAGTGACATTCAAATCACCGATTATTAGCAAGTGCTACTAAACATTCTTATTCGAAATTATCTCGGCTACATTTTTTATTTAAAATATTTTTTTTATACGGCTTACACATTCTTTGTAAATCGATTTTTTTTTTGGAATTCGTGGTATGGTTTGGGAATTCAGTGCTGGCGACTGAACTATATGTAAATATTTTTTATTTAAATATTGGTTATGAGCACGAATGTTTGGTTGTATAATAAGTTCCAGCCACTGCCAGTCAATCAAAATTTAATCAACGTAGCAAAAAATAATTACTAAATTTACTAGACAATTGGAACTGGGATTAGCGAACCGAGCATGTATTGTTTCTTTTTATAATATATAAATTCTAATTTAAAAATGATTTTTTTTTAATTTTTATTTTTATATTAGTATCGAATCTTATTTTTAAAACTCCGTAAGCATTTTTCACAAATCTTTATTTATAAAATATAATTGTAAAAATATATTTCTTATAGGTATTTTTTTATTTTGAATAATTTTAATTATCCTCTTTAAAAGACGCGCAATACAGTTTAAGAGGGTATGTTCACGCCGCAGTTAAAATGAGTGGCATTTAAATAAACTAACGTTTAACAATTCTTTGAGTAGATGGCAGCACGTACATCAGATTCTAATATTTTAATTTTCCCGAAATTTAATTCTCTGAACAACGACATTGTTGCCAGCTATGCCAAGTACTGTAACTTACGATCAGTACAGTTCGATCTAAATCGACAGTTTTCTTCAGTATAAGTTGGTATTACAAAAAATTGTTTAAAATCCTTTATAAAAGGTATATAAAAATGCCCCAAACGGGCTATCACAAACACATTGCAAAACGTTTTCGGATTAATCAATCCATCATCAGTGCAAACGGTTGTACATGCTAGTAGCCACCAAAATATATGGGTCAAAACCCTTTAAATTTTTAAATTTGTAGTTGTTTTACATTATTATTAGTATTTATAATTTGTGATGTTTAAGTTACCGTTGGATAGGTAACATGGCGGCGTACGACTCTACATGAGTAAATTGGTCCTGAGACGAAGTGTTTACGAGGACCTGTTGATAACAACTGAAAGTGACAGCCGAACTAATTTCTCACTACCAAAATGACAACTTGTTACGGTAATATCAACAAAATCTCTAGTTTGCAGATTTTAATTGTAATTGTTCAATGACAAATTAATCCTTTAATTGGTAATCTCACCTTAATCTTAACGTCTTAATATTTTATAGTTTCACCGTGTATAATTGAAACATTTTGAAAACATATCGTATAATATTTTAATAATTAGTTAATTTACCTACAACTAAATAAATTGCCGAATAATATATTTTCCAATTGAACTTCCTATGTGAAGTGTTGCAATTACGGCCTAGATTAAATTGTATTGTAAGCTCATAGTTCAAAGTTTGTTAGTATGATAGAAGTGCTAAGGTATTCATTATTTGTGAGATTATAAATTGGAGATTTGAGCTCGTGTGAGCGCAGTTTATTATATATAGTTACCTAAACAACATCATATAGTGTAATTAGTAATAGCTGTCAATAAAACCACATTTTTCTCCACAACTTAAATTTTTTATTATATTTATCATCGTCGATTGACAAGAAGCGGACAAAGGAGCATTATAAAACGATTCGAACCTCATAACTACGTTCGAATATGTCCAGTAATTTTATCTTTAGGTACAGTTAATGTAAAAATTACGGCTGTGTGGATAATGAATGTCTGCTTAAAATATTTGCTTAAAGCATTTTGGATAGTTAATCATTTAACGTAGTTATTTTGTACCTAAGTTCAAAAATTATTAGACAATACCAAATTTTAGGCAGGTTATCAAATAAGTTCTGACATGGATTCATTTAAGTACAGTTATGAAAAATTTACTGTTTTCTTTGGAAATTTTAACTAGATATCATTAGAATAGAAAGTTTACAGTGCACGTACATAATCATAAGTTGAAGATTTGTTTTGAAATAGTGACGATAACTGTACCTAAAAAGTATATATATATTTGAAATTATGACATACCACCTTAATATGTAGTGACTGATATTGTTATTTTTAATAATTTTCAGTGAGAATTTAAATAGCTCTTTAAGGACAAACCTATTCAAAAATTCATTGGCGAATGTACCAAGAGACGAAAATAATAAAAATGTAATAAATATTGTAGAATCAAGTGATTCAGAAAGCGACGACAATGAGAATAATACGTAAGTACAAAAGATTAAATATCAACATTTCCTTATTCAAAATACTTTAAATACAATTCCCATGCGTTCAAATCGTTATCTAATTGTTAAATATAAACACAAAAACTGAACACGTATTGTGGGTGAATTTTATTTCGAGATCGTTGATCGAGGAACAAAAACAATCAGCCACGGGAGTTTTTCTCTTAAATAACAAATTCTCTATTAAATAACATATTTTCTATTAAATATCAAATAGTGTAAATTAATCAAGAACTGACAAACATACATATGGATGTAATTTTTAGAAAATTGAAGTCTCAATTTAGTATTTTTGATTTAGAAATATTTTTCTAGTCCTATTTTTCATTAGTTTCTATTTTGTTTAGCATGTCGCCCTCTGAATACAGGCTTGACAAGCTCTCTTTACGAAACACTGTAATTTTAAGTTGATAATGCTAATTTGATTTACTGAAATATACCTTTATTTCAGAATTTTAACGATATTTTATTTTCTTTAGGAAAGACTTAAATAAATCGTTTACAAATACTTTGCGAGTAAATTTAAACAAGTTAAATCTAAGCAATGAAGACAATATTAGCGGAAGCCAAGATGCCAGCGATGAGATCAGGTAATTAGTATAGTTTTGATTTAACCCTATTATGCTCAATTTTTAATTTTAGATTGGAAAAAATTATATATATATATATATATATATATATATATATATATATATATATATAATATATATATATATATATAATATTATATATAGGAAATAAAATACTTAAATATGTTTATAATATATTTTTATTGATGAAATTCAAAGAAACAGTTTGAATCCTTATTAAAACATAAGTGCAAACCACATTTGTGACATTTAACATAGGTTAATTTTTTACAATTTGGCTTTTTGCATCGGGCTCGATGGCCAATGTCCTACCTACAGCATCTGTTCGAATATCTTTTGGAGGAATAGCTTGTTAGCCCTTTCTTTTTCGTTAATTGTATATCCTGTTCAATAGAACTTGTAGATGGTCGTTCTCGCTTATTTGATAAATTTTGCGTACCTGCTATACACAGGCAGTCAGCTACCTTAATTCTAAAATTTACCAACGGCATAGAAGCACGTAGGCTCTAGGTGGATGACTGTAGCGACAGACAGAGAAGAATGGAAAAGGATTGGGGAGGCCTATGTCCAAAGATGGACCGAAGAAGGCTAATTATATAGATAGAGATAGACTTTTTCCATTTTCTTTGCATACTCTTTTATAAAAAATCCAACTATTTACAACTGTGAGATCTACAAGGTGGAAAAAAATGCGGAAGTAACATTTTTTATACGAAGTTTAATTTTGTATCTACCAATGAGACTGTCTAATAGGTCTAATTCACCCATGTGTCTGTTATATTCTTTGACCAGATGTGGATGTGAAATCTTGATTGTCTTATTTTGTTTTTTCTTAAACCTATCTACTTCTTGCATAGGCAACTGTCCAGCAAAATTAGATATAAGTGTAACAGCTTTGTTATCTTTTCAAATAATATCAACACCTTCCGCATTTGGTACATACTCCTAGTCTGTGCCTCTTTCTTGCTTCTTTATCTCATTATCTGAAACCAGTTTGCAATTTGGAATCCTAATCCTTCTAATAGTGCCCAGTGAATAAATAAACCTAAAAAATTTATTTTTAGGAATATTTCGACATAATCTAATCACCACATTGGAACTAGGCCCCAGATCTGGTTCTGTATTTAGACGAGCTCTGTTTTCTTGGCCAGTGTAAATTTCAAACTGATAAGGAAAGCCACTTATACCACTTAACTGAAATAGATTAAATCCCCATTTATGTGGTTTAAGGGGCAAGTGTTGTTTTAGATAATGCCTGACCTTAGTTGCACATAGTTGTTCATCTACAGATAAATATTGTTCATGAGGTATATTTTTAAATTTTAAATTTAAATGCTCTACGAGATTTCTCAATTTATTTTTCTGACACGATCAAAAGCATGTTGGCTCATTGTTTCTTTTATTTGGGACACTCTTAATATTTTTAGACCAGTAGCAATGTGCATTAGGCAAATGGATGACTGACAGCAGTATTCCAATAAATTTACTGATGTCATCTGTAACATAATTGGCTGGCTTAGCAGGATTATTTCGGACGTTGTATAAATTAGACTGGTTGGTAATCTCTTGCAATATATTGTCGTCAAAAAAATATTTAAAAAATTGAAATGGAGTAGACAATTCTTGTACCAAAGGAAGTAATGAAGAATCACCGTCTAAGTCTTCCCTTATATATTCGCTTTCAGCCTCATTAACGTTTTCATCTAATTCATTTCTTATACATCTTCGATTTCCCTTATTAGTTCTTTTTCATTTCTGCTGTACCTTCCAGTTCTATCCCACTCAACTCATCTTCAAATACCACTGGAGTATTTGGTATGTCTATATTTTCTAAATCTACATCATTATTGAAGTCTTCAATATCACTTACATCACAATCATCTTCACTATCATCCTAATTGTCGACTATATTTTGCAATTCTTTATCTGATAAAGGCCCCTTCATATACCAGGTAGACATCTAAAATAATACCCAAGTTACATTTTGTATCATAAATGATACAAACAAATTTTTTACCATACCTTTAAAAATAATAGATGCTGAATAAAACTAATACTGGATGACTTATGAATGTGTAATAACCAGAAAACGCAATTTTGCACATTAAATTGTCATTTAGTCATAGAGTCATAGATCTAGCATTGCGGCCTTCTCTGTTTTCGAAACTTCAGCGATCTTTCAAAGAGCAGAAGTTGCACTCGATTAAAAAAAAAATCAGGGAAAAGTTAAACGTCATTCCACAAGAACAGTATATAATTGAGGGATTCGACCGTTACTTGATGGAAGTTCATTTTATGTAACAATAAAACACTGAAAACTTTGATGGGATGATGAATTGTGTATAGTACACTATACACAATTCATCATCATCCCATCCAACACAACATAAACTGGCAGCTTATCATAGTATGTTACATAGATTAATAGAAATTCCGATGTCAAAATACAACTTTTGAGACATAATTAAATATAATTAAGCAAATAGCAGTAAACAACGGATACAACGAACAAACAGTTAGTAAAATGTTAAACAACAAAAATTGCCAAACACATAAAAAAGAAAGGAATAACACCAGCTTTCCGAACAAATAACAACCTAGGCAAATATATTAAAAATAAATAACAAGAGCCAAAATAAAAAACACTTAAATAGTGGTGTATACAAACTTCAATGTGGCGACTGCCCAAAAACTTACATCGGTCAAACTGGTAGAAACTTTGATAAACGAATAGCAGAACATAAAAGGGCTTTCAAGAATAGAAAAACAGATTCGACATACGCACTTCACCTTCTAGATCATAATCATTCTTTTAATGACAAATTTAAAATTCTTCACATTCAAAATAAAGGCCTTAAGTTATCTTTGTTAGAATCTATGGAAATCAACAAATTAAAAAACACAGATATAATTCTGAATGACCAACTTGAGACAAACAGTTCTCCCCTCCTCAACCTATTTCATTAGAGACTATAAATTTGTAAACCTAAGCCAAAAATAGATCACTTTAGAAAGGCAATCAGCCGAAACAGCTGTAGTGATAAGATTTAAAATAAATTTTGTGGAAGTTTGAAAACAAAGTTTTCAGTGTTTTATTGTTACACAGAACAGTATATATAAAAACGGATTGATTACGGCTGTCGTCGCTTCTCCGCCCCCAATTTCCATCTTTTTCTGTCATATGCAGTTGCCTCTTTTAAGTCTCTTGCCGCTATAGCTTCATCAATATCGTTGCGCCAACTTGTCCGTGGTCGTCCTATCTTTCTTCTTTCAGGAGGGATCCATTCCAGTACTCTTTTAGGCCATCTGTACTCTGGTATTCTTTTAACACGTCCGAACATGAACATCTGAAACATGTTCTAATTCTCTCCAGTTTCGATCTACCACAGCTTCTTCTCAGATAATCCATTTCTGTCGTCATAAGTTTGTTTCTATTAGCTTTGGTGACGTCTTATACTTTCGAACCATAAAGTGTAATACTTTGGACTTCTTCTTCTTCTCGTGCCACTCCTAGCGGAGATTGGAAATCATCATGGCCACTGCGACTTTGTTAGCAGCGCGCCTGAAAAGTTCAATCGAACTACACCCGAACCATTCACGTAGATTACGAAGCCACGATATTTTTCTTCTTCCCACACTTCTTTTGCCCTTAATTTTGCCCTGCATGATGTTTCTTAAAAGTTCGTACTTTTCACCTCTCACAATGTGCCCCAAGTATTCCATCTTTCTAGTTTTTATCTCATTTAGAATTTCGCATCTTTTGTCTAAAGTTTGGAGTACTTGCGTGTTAGTGACGCGGTCCATCCATGATATTCTGAGAATGCGCCTATAGCACCACATCTCGAAAGCTTCGATGTTTTTTATGGTCAACTGTTTTAGTGTCCAAGCCTCAACTCCATATAACAGGGTAGAAAAGACATAACACCGCAGCATTCGTATTCGTAACTTTATATTGATATCACGATTGCAAAAGAGTTTGCGCATTCTATTAAAGACTGATCTAGCGATTTCTATTCTACATCTAATCTCTTTTGTTTGATCAGTATCGTCTGTGATCCAAGCACCTAGATATTTATAACAGGGCACACGCTCAATCGTTGTATTGTCTATTACAAGATTAGCTCTGTTTGAGCTAATCTTGTAATAGACATAAGACATAAGTTTGTATACTTTGGACTATACTACCGTAAATGTGTTTTTTGGTTTCTCGTCGAATTGTTTTTTGCCAGAGAAGAGAGTTTAAGGAACGGGTCGCTGCTCTGCCCTTGTTTATTCTTTCCCTGATTTCATCTGCGCTATCACATTTTGTCATATTCATGTTTAGACCTGCCACCTCATATTCTTCTTGCGGTTTTCTTACTATATAGCTAAGATCGCAGCTGTCTTCGGCAATTACTACCTGGCCATCTGCAAAGAAAAGTGTATATAGCGTGTTTTCTTCCACCGTTAATCCCATGTTTCTACATTTTTTTACCCATTTCACTAACGATCTGTTCAAATAGATTTTAAATAAGGTGGGTGACAGACAGCAGCCTTGTCTTAGTTCCTTTGTTGTTTGAAAAGGAGAGGTGATTTCTTGTCCCATTGTAATTCTTGCAAAGTTTTGTTCGTAGTATTTTTGAGTGGAGTTAATAAGAATTGGGTTTATTTTCAAGTTACCCATCTCTATCCATAGTTGGGAGATCGGTACACTGTCATATGCTTTTTCCAAATCTGTTAAAGCTATATGGGTTTCTCTATTTATCTGCACTCGTTTCCATTGCATTTTTTAATGTGAAAATAGCCGGACGCTCCACTATGGATCCACAAGAACAGTTCTGAGAATAATTTCAGTGATGGAAACGACGTTGGAAGAAGGATATACGTTTTTAACGGGTGTGCTTTGAGGGCGATATAGTTGAATTTTTTAGTATATTCGCATTAGTCCTGTAAATTTTTGGTCGCATACTGTATATTCCGCATTATATGTGACGTAAATGTACAATTTGTAGATCGATGGATGTAAGCTCAGTTTTCTTTATTTCTTTAACTTGCTAATAAAATGCTGTCTTTAAGATATTATTTTACCTTTTATGTCCTCTTAGCCTATATGTACTCTCCGCAGCATAAAATTGCCGTTCAATCGTCTATCAAGTCAAGTTTAGTCGTCGTTCGCAATAATATTTATTGTTAACAACCTTGTTAGCTTGTACTCTTTGTGATTCTTTAACTGTGCTTTTTTCAGTAATGTTAAAAGAGTTAAAACCCATCTTGGAGCTTAAGTTGCTTACTAATAAAATATTTATTGTAGCTTTTAATCTGTCTTGCCAAATATAATATCACAAAAATGGCTCCTTGTATGGTTTTTTGTCTATTTTGCATTTCTCTCTCTTACAGAATTATTTTTCAGTTTCTGTCTGTAATTTTTTCAATAGACAAAACTTTCCTTTCGGATTAACTTTTCTTTATTGTATTCTTCTTTTAGCTTTTGCCGTTGGTATAATTCGAGATTGGCAAAAGCTTTATTTTTTTTAGATGTCTAATTGTTTAGAAGCTGTTTTTCCAGAATTAATGTACTTTCCCAAAAGTATCGGATCTTCGTTTAAAACTTCGCGCCAAAACATTTCAGTGCCCTCTGTGTATTGCATATGTTATATCCACACATAAATGTCCTCGGGACTTCGGCGGAACTTATAGTTGGCCTTGTAGGCTTAATACGTCTATCAAGGCGACTTTAAATCCTCCCTTAGCAACAGTATGATTAAGAAAATTCACTCATTTCTTAGTCCTCTTCTGGAACATCTATTTTTGTCTCGTGCCAAAGCTATAATTTACCAGAGTTCGTCGACTCTCTGGGGCATCGTTAAGACAGCACTTTTCCCCCTGTGACATGCATCTCCTGGGTACAATGTTACTATACCTCGGGATCACAGCACAAATCTCACTATACGATGAGTCAGTTGTGGCGATTTGCCAATTAAGCATAGTACACATGTGCATGCATGTATGTTTATTTTGCATGTGTGTGTGTCCGTTTATGTTTGTGAGTGAGTCATGCTCAATCAAATTTACAGTTAATGACATAGTTGCAGTCCTTATATCGTGTTCTCAGTTCGCGGATGTTCTTTGGTTATATCTTATTCACACCTGCTCTATGGCCCTATATGCTCACCTGATGAGAACGTCATAACCAGTCTGTCCTGCGTTAAGTGGAGTTAAACTCATACTTACAGTCTTCGATCGCAACGTACGAAGGCAATCTATTGTAACATATAGAATTAATTATTTTTGTTTAGCAAATTTTAACGAAATATTCTTTATTTTCTTTAGGAAAGACTTACGCAATAAGTCGGTTACCAATGTTTTGCGAGTGCATTTAAAGAAGTTAAATGTCAGCAATGAAGACAATAATTGTGTTAGCCAAAATGCCAGTGATGAGGCCAGGTAATGCACGAAGCTTGTCCTATCACACCGACTTAACAAATGCATGTTATCATAGCACATTATTAATTTGCAATTAATCTATCTAACGTAGGTTAGAGATCATCCTGGATATTTTTATTTTATGCACTGCTGCTCTAAACAGTTATATTGAAGTAGATTGGAACCGCTCCCTCAATACTTAACAGTCTTCTGATACTTCTTTTTCTAATTTTTTTCTTTTATTATTAGGTTTAATAATTCATATTTGTTTTAATTATTTTTCTTTGTCTTCCTCTTCTATCAGAGATTAGGTATCGTTAGTGCTATTCTAATCTAATTTACATATGTTCCTAAACAGTTCGTTTGTGGTGTAAACTCAAAAACTCAAACCGAAATTGCTCTAAGTTTCTCTTCCAGGATATTCTTTTAAACGAATCTTCAATTCTGTGCACTTAAATCTTTCTTTGTATTATATTTTGTAGAAATGTCCTTATTAGATGGTTTTCCTCAATTCTTCTCTTTAGACGATTTAGGTGTTGACATCAATTTGAACTTCTTTCCTATTTCTCTCATTACTTCGATGTTGATTTTTCCCTTGGCACATGATATCCTCAAAACCATTGTATGACACCACATTTCTATTGAAAGCAATATATTCATACATTCTTGTTTAAGCGTCCAACTTTTCATTCCGTATATTTGATCTATTCTGTATATTTTTAATCCTTATTTTGTTAAAAAAATTTTTCGATCAGTGTTCTTATCTTTATTGTCTTATTATTGTTGTGTGTTGTCAAAGTACCTAAATATTTATAGGTAAAAAGAAATAAGAATAAGACTTACAATCAATTTATTCTATCACCAACAACCGCTTTCGCATATTATAATTAGCTATGCATCTTCAGGCCGAGGGGACATGGTAAACTAAATGCTGAAAATATAATAACCCGTATTAGGGTGCTGTTTGATACATAATATACAGCAATTATGTCATGTGTGTGTGATTATTAAATACTACTTTAAAGTCCATTAAATAAAAAAAAAATAAATAAATATTAATTACATGCCTATACAAGGATTATTATTAAATGTTTGAGAAACAGTTTTTTAACTATGTTTTCTCCTTTCCTTTTTATAAAAAATCCTTGGTCTAATAAATGTTTCTCTTTTTTGAATTATTTTTGAAAGGAAATCTTGAAAATATTATTTAAAAAAAAAAAAAAAAAAAAAATGAATTTTGATAAATTATAAATAAATTAAAATAGTAACTAATAAAAATTACTGAATTATTTTAAAGTATAAATAAATATTTACTTTTTGTAGCACTCCTAAAAAAGTGTCCACAAGAAAAGTATCCACTCCAAAATCCACGAGGAATGCTGTAAGAACTCCTCGATCTGTAAAAACTTCAAAAGCGGTTAGTAAGAGTCCAGAAAAAACTCCCAGAGCCACTCCGAGGACTCCTAAAAATAGGGCCAAACTTATCAGGGAAGGGATCGTCACTCCATCGATGCAAGAGAGAAGTAAAAAAATAAAAGGCGATTCTACACCATTAATGAAGGCGAGGAGCCAGTTACACGTTTCTTATGTACCTGAATCATTGCCATGTCGAGAGAAGGAATATTGTGATATTTACAATTTTGTAGAAGGAAAATTGATAGATGGTTGTGGAGGGTAAGTTTTGTTTGAATATTTAAATTTAATTGGAAATCAAATAGAAGAGTTTCTTGGGGGGATTACTGACCTGGAAGTTAACCAGTATAATAGGAAAATATCGGCTCTTAAGTTAAGTGAATTTTAAGTTAAATATACCCGCTGAAAAATTACAAAAGTGAGTTGGTGAAGTTCCTGAGTAGGAGTAACATCAGAGACTCTGTAAGTCAGCTTATATTACATCAATTATTAGTAATAAACAAAAATAACGGTTTGTCCCAAACCCTTTTTCAGTGCGTCATAGTTGATCGAATTCTCTCTAACGCATAAAGCTGGAAGTGACAGAAAAAGACGTGAGTCTGTGATTATTATACATAGAACATAAAAAATTATGCATCGTTCACGAGTATTTGCATATTAAAGCGAATTCTACTTACGGATGTATAATTGGTTGGAGTTTAGAATACGCTAAATAGATATCCAATCAATGATGCGCATAAATATAATTTGACGCAGATTATCTTGATCATGACAATACTTTCACAATGTCAACTGATAAAATGATAATTGTCATTCCAGGTTAGTATTTTCAGACATTTTACAGTAAAAATTTAATTTTGTATTTATTGTCATAAAAATATTTTAAATATGCCGAGATATACCGAGAAAGAACAAAGACTACATACCTATTTAAAAAAATAACTTTTTCACATTTAGTCGATTACGTTCCTGCAACTGTCAGATTTAACTAAAATGTCAAGCAATAATTTTCGACATTCTTAAAATCCTATATGACGTCACATTTAGTGACGCACTGAAAAAAGGGTTTGGGACGGACCGTATCTATTTGACAACATAAGAAGAACCATCGAATATTTTAAATACAAACAAGAATTTCTTATCTTTTTTGTTTTTGCACCGGCTTATTATAGTTTGGATACAGGACCGCATTCAGATCTAATGACTAGTTTCAAACTTTATTTAAATGGATTGTATTAATTCCGAATTAGCTCAGGAAATGAGCTGTGTTTCACCACCAACACTTAAAAATCGTACTCATCAGTAACCAGTACTCTTAATTTTACATCCAGAAAGCAAGCTATAGTATTTAGTTCATTAGAAAATGTAAAATTAGAAGATTACCTTGTATCACTAGGATCAGTTATTCTTCAAAAGATATATTGTTCTCTTCTCGTATAGCCAACAGCAGGATTTGTATTTATTTATCTAAGGAAGAATTAGTTGACAAATTTATAAATGTTCATCAAGGAAAAATCATAGTAAACAATCAAATAATACAAGGAAGAAGATTAATTACTCCTAGTGAACGACTAATATTATCCAATGTATGTCCAACAATTCCACATAGTATTCTAGAATCAGAACTACAGAAACTAGGCTTTAAACTTATGTCTCCCCTATCATTCCTTAGAATTGGTACATCTCGTCCCGAATTTCAACACGTACTAAATTTTCGTAGACATGTATATATTTCACCTGTAGTGGACCTAATACTTTCTGAATTGTTGTTAATTTATCATGACAATACAAACTATAGAATTTTTATGTCTAGACCAACACTCCTGTTATATTTGTAAAAAGATTGACCATATCGCCCCAAACTGTCCTCAAAAAACAATAACTCCAGTTTAATAATAAATAACACAGTGACTACAGCAGACATTATAACCGACGTAACACAACACTCAGTACAAATCCATTCAGAACCAAATTATTTGGTACAAGACACTCAATCTAAACAATACAAAAATAAAGATGTAGATGTAAATAAACCAAGACCAAAAAACGATAACCCGCTTACAAATGAAAGTATAAACGATAATGAAATAGGATTAGAAACTAATGAATCATTGATCACTTCACCGATTAGTACAGAACCTACACTGCAAACACAGAGCAAAAGAGCTTTCCCCGAAACAGTTACACCACCTGAAACTCCTGAATACTTTACTGCCTGCTAAGGATACACGTTCAAAAAAGAAGAGAAATATCCCAACAATAGATCTTATTAATATACAGAAATTGATACAGCCAACAAAAGTATTTTTTGAAGACGACACAAACGAAAGTGTTCTTAATTACCAAGTTGTACGCATGGTGTTGAAAATGGAAAAAATTGTAGTCAGTCATAAAATTCTTTGTAAAAGGTTTAACACCGATCCAAATTAATTTGCATTTTGTAAATATGTATGGCGAGTTTTCATCGCCAATTTTCACCATGAAGAAATGAATAGTCGAGTTTAACGTGGACGTGAAAATTTCATAAGATGATCCACGTAAAAGACGTTCCACAGTTACAACCACACCGGAGATCATCAACGTCGAATGTGGCGGTCACATCTTGTGATCAATTAGAGACCACAAAAATATTTGCAACTGACATTTTGAAATAGAATCATCAATATACAAACGAAACCAACCGGTAATCTAAATAATAGATAGAAGGCGGTTCTGCAGTTCCAAAAGCAGATGAGGACGGGAAATACTACTCTCAATGTATAATAAAACTGTACAATTATATCTTGGTAATAAGAAATTAAAAGATCTACACCATAAAAGTGATAGCAAATCCCCTTTATTTCCCAGGTTTGGATCCCTTGGACTAAAAATTTTGTTTCAATCAAGAAGTCATTACGGCTATGTATGAGTACTTTGCAGCACTTCAAGAGAAAGTATTAATTGTCCTTTTCACTATTAGGCCAATAACTATTTAGACCAGTTTTTTATATTTAAATTGTATAATATTTTAAATGTACATTGTATTAAATCTGTATTTTTTGCAGGTGTATGTATATCTCTGGAGTACCTGGTACTGGTAAAACGGCGACTGTAACCTCGGTAATGCGACAACTAGAATCTAATAAAGATGTTCCCAAATTTACATTTATCAACGTTAATGGAATGCGTCTGACAGAACCCAGGCAAGCTTATGTTGAGGTATAAACGATTTATTAATAAAATTCTGTGAAAAATCTTACCATCAAAATCTCTTAGACCATCCAAACGATATCTTAGTATAATTAGCATCAACCTTTCTCAATAATAATTCTTGGTTGTTGATGACTTTAGTTTTATTAGAATTTTCATCTACAAACTTTATCCTTTACATTACTCAGCTATATTTTTTCTTCTCCTTTGACATAGGAAATAAATTGATCCCTCCTATTTGATTGATAAATTGATTTAGCTATATAATATCACTTGGAATTTAAAGAAACATACTCTTTTGTAAATATATATTTTTTATAATAAATTATTTTTAGATTTTGAAGCAACTTACAGGAAAAACAGTTTCATGGGAACAAGCTCAAAATAGTTTAGAGGAAATATTTGTTAAGTCTAAAAAGAAGGAACCTATAGTTATGTTAATAGATGAGGTAAGAACTCGTCTTAAGATATATGATTTCTTACAGTATTAGGATTGTTTCTACGAAATGAACATTAAGCAAATAAAAAGTAATTATTAAAAATTTATTAAAAAAAATTATTATTAAAAAAAAAGAAATAAAGAAGAGCCAAGAGGCTTAGAATATAAATATATGACTTTACGAGAAATGCGAATGAAAAAGGTTATTTCCCATCATGTTTCAATAATTTCCCACTTAAAGCTTTCTGTAAGTAAGTAATCATACAGTAAGCACGTGAAGGCTGGAATAAATTCGTTAAACGTTTAATTTGGCCATTATGTATCGATGACAATTAGACAGGTCGATTTTATTTTTCAGTTGCGTATTTTTTGCTGAACTCATATTTTTAATGACGTCACTGTTCGAGTTATGACGTCATTATCATTTCTTTAAAATGGTAAGTACCTTATTTTGACACTATTATCGAAAAGAGCGAATCTATTTGTATACGAATGTCATATTTTTTCTTATATCGCTTATGTCACATAACCTATTTGAGAAATAAAACATATTTTACTCATCTAAACGTAATTTATAAAAATATAAACAGGACTAAATAAACTTATAAACTATTAAATTAAATGCTTAAATTGCAAACCATTTGCCTCGTTGACAACATTCAAGACGATGTTTGTTACTCTTAACATTATTAACGGTATCAAACTTAATTAAATTAGTTTCAGTACTAATTCTCTCTTAAGTTCATCAATGCTGTTAAGCCTGTTAACGTAAACTTTAGACTTACGGTACCCCCATAAGAAACGATCTAGTGGAGACAGATCAGACGGTCTAGCTGGCCTATATTAAGAAAAATATTATTTAGGTATTCACGTACATGTCGTGCTTAATGCGGTGATGCTCCGGTAGCTGAGGATTTTGATGATTTGGGTAGAGAGCCTCAAGTGTGGTAATTATTCGATTTTGAAGTAAATCAAAATATGTACTTGTCACCATTCAATGAACCGTCAATAAAAAATGGGCCCACAATTTTATTACCAACTATTTACGCCTACACGTTAACTGTCTGTGGATACTGATTGTGACCTTTTACCGCTCAGTAAGAGTTCTCTTGTACCCAGTTCCTACAGATCTGCCTATTTACTGTACCTGTTAGGGAAAAGGCGTCTTATTTGAGAAAATACATTTCCATAGAAATTGCGGATCATGATTACATCGATTAGTAGTTCATGAATCACATGAATCAAGAACTTCTTTTCAGTCGTTCCTATCCATCGCCTTTCTCCGCTAAGTACGTATTTGTTCTGGGTCTTCCTCTTCTTCTGGGACGAATAGGTCTATCAAGGAGAGTTTTCTAGTTGGGTCTATTTTATGGGATCTAGTTGGGTCATTTTGTTCCATTCATATTACACGCCCTATCCACCTCAGACGTCCTACCTTAATATATTTTAAGATATCTGATTCCTGATATATTCTGACTCGTTGTTCTTCCATCAGAAGAGGTTCAACAAGACTACACAGTACAAAACGGAGAGATATAAATTGCACCTTTAGATAGAAAGTAATATGGATGTAGAACAAGAATACAACAACCTCAAAACGATAACAAAAAAATTGCTTATAAAGTATTAGGAACAGAGAACAACGACAAAAAACACCACGAACCACCATTGTAGACAGAAAACGTAAAATAAATGATACAAGAAAACAAGATTCATTTATTAAAAGTTAAAATAATATTATTTTCTTCTACATGCTACACGCCGAATCTACATATAAAAATATCTAAAGTTGCCCCTTTCTTTCATATTTTAGAAGCAATAATAGCGCTGACATGACCTCTCTCTAGTGGTACTAAAATCTCGATCCACCCTCTCATTCTTTTTCATAACGTGCGATCAACCTTCGCCGACGCCAAAAAATAACAGTGAAAGATTCTTCTATATGCGTCTATATTCTTTGGTAATATCTTCGACAAAAACGATGTGAAAGTGATGCCAGGGGGAACGGTCTATTAGATCTTTCTTGTTGGCCTATCAATATTTAAAATATTGTACCGGGAAGTCACGTTTAGATTTATATACTTCTTGTATCATTATTATTAAATTACACTTCTCAACAATTGAAGTGGATATTATGAAAATGTGTATTTTATTTTTTGTTCATAAGGTCAAATAGAAAGATGGAGTGATATAAATAAAAAATTATTTTTACTTCGTATTTTCATACAGATGAACCGAAAGAAATTCTTTAAGAAAAAAAAAAAATAGAAAACAAACAAAAATTGTAAAATTAACAACCTAAAATTTCTATTCCTGCTCAATTTCTAATATCCCGAAAAGAAAAATTATTAGTGTGTGGATCCACCTCTGTGTCGCCTTAGTGCTCTAACTCTATTTGGAAGACCTCTTATTAAATTATTGATGAACTGCTGCGGTAATACTTTCCCAAATCGCGCGTTTGGGGCGCGTTGAAGGAACCTGTTTTGTTGCCTAGACATTTCGGCCCAAACATGTTCAATGCAATTCATATATGGTGAACACGGTGGCACTTCATTCGTGTAATGTCATAAGCTTCTATACACTCGTTGAAAATTCTCGTACGGTGAGGGCGAGCATTATCATCAATCAGAACAAATTGTTCGCCTATTGCTCCAAAAAATGGAACAACTATTGGTACTATGACTCTGTCTCGATATCGTGTAGCAGTCATTGTCTCATTAATTATGACGACTAAGTCCGTGCGACCGTCAAAACATATGCCTTCCCACACGCAAACGGATCCACATCCAAAAAGAGTGGTTGGGACTCTCATATTTTCATTGTAACGCTGTCCTCTTTCCCTCCACACCAATATGCGGCCATCATTCGTATACAAACGAAATTTGGACTCATCAGTAAAGAGACAATTCCTCGAATTTTCGAAATTCCACTGATAGTGTTCCATCGCCCAGCCATATCTGCATGCACGCTGCTCCCTAGTTAGTCGTGGATGGGTAGCGCGCCATCTAGCACTTATATTGGATGCATGTAACCGTCTTCTGACAGTTTGACTAGAAATCGCTCGTCCAGTAGCATACCTGAAGATACTGTTAATTATGGAAGCCGTGAATGTTGGGTTTCTTCTTGCCGTAAGAACTACAAAACGATCTTGCCGACGAGTTGTAGATCGTTCTCTTCCTCGTCCATGCCTGTATGTTGCAGATATAATTGCTATATACCGATTCCATGCACGACTTATCACACTTTGTGACACATTTAGCCTCATAGCAACCTCTTGTTGAGTTATGCCTTGTTGGATCCAACGAACTAATTGCTCGAGCTGCACTAGTTCTAAACGTCTTTGCGGCATAATGTTTTTGTGATAAATAGATTTCTTGACTTATTGACAATTGGTAAAGACAATATAAGCACTTTTATATGAATGATATATTCATGTTTGGAACAACATGTCTCTCTTTGTAGTACGAGATAAGGGCCGATAAGAATAGGGAGAAAAAAACCACATGCAAAAAATATTGGCAATAAAGATAGCATATAGAGTATAGTACAGGTAATTATTTTAAAAATAGTTTTATATGTTAATTTTAGGAATTTTAAAATTATCCACTTCAATTGTTGAGTAGTGTATATAAAATACATTTTATACAAAAAATTAAATACATATAAACACAAAACATACGAAAAACTTTTAGTAATGTACCGTCCTGTCCTGCTGTGATTAATCGAACACATATTCTAGTTTGCGTAGAGATCCGGCTTACAAAGATTACAATGTATAGTGTATAGATACAAATAATTTTAGCATGGTGCCGTTATATAGAGTATATTGGTTCTCGCGAAATATCGGGTATATCAGGTAAATAAATTTAAGTAGTGTATCCAATATTTATTTACTCATTGTTTTATATAATTTACTTAACCAGTAAAGTTCTTGAATAATTTCAGTTGGACATTTTATGCACTAAACGCCAAGACGTGGTATACAATCTCCTAGACTGGCCTACCAAAGCTAAAAATCAATTAGTTGTGATTTCAATAGCCAACACAATGGACTTACCCGAAAGGTTATTGATGAATAGAGTGACTAGTCGCCTAGGATTGACTAGACTAACATTCCAAGCGTATACTTTTAAACAACTGCAAGAAATAGTCACTAAAAGATTATTTGGAACTGATAGTTTTAATCCAGACGCTGTACAATTTGTTGCAAGGTAAGGTGGTTTTAGTCGTTCTGTAATATTACATCGTTGTGGATCCCCGTTCTTCTCAATATATTGGTATTTTTGACTTGATCTACCCAGATAATTGTCAATATTATTCTATAAGCCAACAGTTTAAAAGCTTCCAATCTGTTTGTTACATATTTCTTCAAGTTTACACGTAGCATCTCAGTAGGCTTATTTTAAGCACATTGTGAAGCACATCATCAGTTTAATATTGATCGCCAAGGAATGTTACCAGTAGTTTTCCTATTCTCTGATCTGATCCAACACTAATGATAATAAATAAGGACTAAGCACTGAACCCTGATTCAATCCTAATTTCACATAAAATGTATCAGTCTCCTCCACATCCGCTCTAACAGTAGTTGTTACCCCCTAATACATATTAACACTTTAACTCCTGGGCCTATTTATCCGCATAAGTTGTCACAGCCTGACCACTTTTTTTTCATGTTCTTTAATAAAATGCTCTATATGTATGAGTTAATTCATGTAATGACATTTTTTTTATTTAAAAAGGGCTTTGTAGGGTGTGTTTATTTTTGATACACGCAGTTCACCTAGACGACTTTTCATAACGTCATTACCGATACCCTATATGTATTGAAATTGACACACGTTATTTATGAAACTTTATTACGAAAAAACATAGGTAAACATCTAAACAAATTATTTTAAAATAAATATCGTTATTCGTAGAGTTTTATACACTTCTGCTTTAGCTTTTGTTACTGGTACTTTAGCTTTCTATTTTGGAGATCTTTGTCATGACTTATTTTATGGTTTTCTCAAAATCAAGCATCGTCTATTATATCACATTAACGTATGTTTTTTTTTATACCCAAATTGTCCCATTAGCAATCTTATAATAAACATTTGATCCGTTTATATTCCTAATGCTCTAGTTATATTGAATATTTCTGAAACTAATGTATGGTTTTTACAGAAAAGTTGCATCAGTATCCGGTGACGCTCGTAGAGCATTAGATATTTGTAGAAGAGCTGCAGAGATTGCTGAATCTGAAGGAAAATCGCAGTTAGTAACAATGACACATGTAAACGAAGCACTAAATGCCATGATTACGCAACCGAAAGTATTAGCCATAAAACATTGTTCAAAGTTGGAGCAGCTCATTATGCAGTCTATAGTAGCCGAGGTAAATATTTTGTCTAGTTATACGTACAGTTTTTTTTTTTGATAAGGCAAAAAAGTTTTTTGACCTTTATCAAATCGCGGTAGATGGAATAATGTATATAAAATGTATCACTTTGAAGACTAATGACATGTGGTCATACAATTTTCTATGCTATACCTACCGGTGTATTTATCGGAGTGAACTTGGCACTTGTGCAATGGACTAAGAAATCGTAAGAGTATAATTAGTGTTTTAACAAGTTTTTCCTTATTACAAATAATAGCTATAGAGGGCGCTGATAAATCTTATCGAACTTATCCAGCTGTAACTAAGGTAATTTTTACCTGAAGTGTGTGGGACAGTAAGGTTTAATGTCTTCACTAGATGACGTTATTACCAAATGCATGAATTTTAATACATTTTCATTCAGAAAATATTTCAGTGATCCAGACTGGAGATAAATCAGGTCTTGAAGTTGGAAATTATTTCTGGTCTTGACAGTCTAAATTTTGGCGAAGGCGGCACCCGATTTTTTAAAAGTCTATTTAATTGGTTTATCTGTAGTAGTAACAAAATAATTTTAACCTGGTATAACTCTCACTGGGAAATAAAATTCGACCTGTTTCAGGTTTTTTTTTTCTAATGCTACCGGTTTTATTAAATAATGGATTTTTTACATTTATTTTATGCACCATACCAGTAGTATACTCTCACTCAAACTGTTTCCGGTAATTGACAGTCCGAAATAAATTCAGTATTTCGAAAATCCTTCACTTTCATCTACTCTTCCCGTACTCAATTCGGGCAAAAATGGCTTCAGTTAGAGATGGATACGTTCGATATGATTTAGAAGCCTGTATCATTATTATCTGCAATAAATAAGTAAAAGAAACAGTTAAAAAAGCGAGGTGTATCATTAATTAAGCATTACATATATATTTGCAGTTATAGCAAATATTGATGTATTTCTCCAAAAAAGTCATATATATTATTTACCCTGTACACGGCGCCTCGCAGGAAATTTTTTTCCCGTCGTTTTATCGTTGAAGTGCCTAATATATTGCTGGAGCCAATGTTGTTGGGAAGTAGCCCTTTAATTGTTTTCTTTATCAGCGGAAAGAGCAAATCTTCATGATATAGCATCAGACATATGCCTGATGATAGTGGAGGATTTATATCTAGTAAAAATTTTCACCCGTTGAGGAGAGCGTGGTAAAAACCTGTCCTTCACGCCCTCAATCCGGTCTCTATCGCATCGACTCTTATTCTTTAAGTGCCCTCTCCCAATCGGAGGTTGGATATCATCATCACTATCTTTAATTTATCTACTGCTGCTCTAAAGAGTTCTATAGAACTGCATTTAAACCAGTCCCTTAAATTCTTCAACCATGACACTCTCCTTCCTATACTCCTTCCTCCTCTTATCTTTCCCTGTATTATCAGCCTTAGCAGTTCATATCGCTGTCCCCTCATTGCGTGTCCCAGATATTGTAACTTATTTTTATCGTGTTTATTATTTCGCATTCTTTGCCCATTTCTCGCAATACTGCGGTGTTAGTTTTCTTCTGTGTCCATGCTATTCTAAGCATCCTGTAACACCACATTTCAAAGGACTGTAACTTATTTATGTGTTCTTGCTTGAATGTCCAGCTTTCAAGTCCATAGTGCAGTATCGAAAATACGTAGCATCTCAGTGCTCTTACTCTCAGTTCTAATCTAAGATCTTTATTGCAGAGAATTGTTTTCATTTTTACAAACGCATTTATTGCTATTTCTATCCTAGCTCTTATTTCGGTTGTTTGATCATTATTGTCTGAAATCCAGGTTCCTAGGTATTTGTATTTATGAACCTTTTCTATCGGTACATTTCCCAAATGTATGTTTGTTGGTATATTTGTTTTCTTTGTTATTATGATGTATTTGGTCTTTTTTATATTCATTTTTAGTCCATATCTTTCACAGAAACTTTTTGTTTTGTTTAGCAGTAATTGGAGTTATTCAGCAGAGCTTGCCATAATCACGGTGTCATCTGCATATCTTATGTTGTTACTATATCTTCCGTTAATTATTATTCCTTCACTTTGAGATAGTAATGCTTCTTCAAAAATGGCTTCACTATATACATTAAATAATATTGCATCGACTCTACTACTCTATTATTAGATAATGGTCGTTGTTTTTTTTAAACCATCTGTTATAAACCGATCGTACTTCAGCTAATTGGATTATTGTATATACACAACCAAACATATATGAAGACATCTGATATTTGTCATTATTTCAAACGAACAATATTTATTTTAAAGCAATTTAATCACCAATACATAAACATTAAAGAAAACGGTAAATTCTTGAAATAACAAATTGAAACTAATTGTTTTAAAGTCAATAGCATAAAAAATTTCAGTGTAAAACGAATAATATCTTCTGCTTCAAGTAAGTTTGTAGTCACTCTGTTGGTATGTGCAGGTGCAATATCATGCATGAAAATGAAATTTTAGCCAATTACACCTCTCCAGAGTCTAACTCCTGGTTCTAGAACCAAGTCATCTTACCTGCGAGCTCTAACGTTGGTTAGATGGAAATTAAAGGAGTTTTTTCACCTATCATAATACCTTCCCAGAACGTGACACTACCTCCTTTATACCTGTGAATAAATCTGGTAGTTTCGGTTCTTATTTGTCTTCCTAGCCCTCTAAGTACACGAACTTGTCGGTCAAGTGAGTTTAGACAAATCATGGTTTCGCCAGAAAATAGCACATTTTGCCAATTTCCACTGTTCCAGTTTTGGTGTTGAAGATACCCATTCAAGCGGTTAATCTTGTGCTGCATGGATAACTCGAGAACCCGTCTATTGGTGTATAGTCCTTTGGCCCGAAGTCTTTTTCTTATCGTTTCAACTGAAACACAGCTGTAGCTTCCAAAAGTTGTCTTTGGAGCTGCGTGTGAGAAATTGTTAGGTCTCTTCTAGCTACTTAAACAATGAAACGATCGTGTCGATCCGTTGTTACTTTTTCGCGACTTTGTCTTGGTCATTTCCCAAGCGTTCCTAATTCCTGATACCTAGCATAGGTTTTTGACAACGCCCTGTGTTGCGCCTACCACTGCAACTATGTCCTTCAGAGACATTCCTTGCTCCACAAGATCGATAATCTTTCCCCTTTGCACATCCGTTAACCCCACATGAGGCATATTTTCGTTTTTGAACAACAGAAGCAAATCTATAACGTACCGAACTGTGTTATATCTGATGGTTTTGTTGGTTTGTTTATTTTCAATAAAAACCTTTATTCTTCTTCTTCTTCCTCTTTATAAGCAATACCCCTATGGAAGGTTGTTACTCCATCTTTTGCGCGGTCGTTCGATATTTCTTCTGTCGATTGGTGACTTATCTTTTGCTATTTTGACGACACGGGTCTCCTCCATTCCGTTTACGTGGTTATTGCATATTTTTTGTTTTGTGTCCATTCATTTATACATTGTTCGTTACATTTTCTTCTAATGTCTTCTCTTTCTATCTCTCAGCATATTTCCTGTAATTCCTCTCAGTACTCTCATCATCTCTGCCATTTCCAGTAGCCTTTGCGTTGTGGCTGTGTCGGGTCTTGTTTCTGAGGCATATGTCATTATTGGTTGATGAGGCATATGTCACTGGCTTTATAAATTCTTGACTTCATCTCAGTATTAATGTGTCCGTTTCACCACATGGTGTTATTAAGGCATTCTGCCAGTGTATTTACTTTTTGTAATTGATCTCTCACTTCTTTGTCCAGGTCTCCATGGCTAAACAGTGTAATTCTTAGGTATTTTATTTCCATTACTCGTTCAATACAGATACCATCAATTTCTATTTTACACCTGGTTGGTTTTTGCTGACTACTATTGTTTTAGTTTTCTGAGATGAAATTGTCATATTAAATTCTTTTGCTCTTATGTTAAATCTGTGGAACAGTCTTTGCAGACTATCTTCATCTTGGGCTATCAATATTGCGTCGTCTGCGTAACAGATTATTTTGATTTCTTGGTTTCCCATTCTGTACCCTCTTCCTTTTTAATGATTGATGATTTCATCCATGATCGAATTGAAGAGCATGGGGCTCAATGAATCCCTTTATCTTACTCAGCTGCCTATTTCTATAGATTCTGAAAGTTGTCTATCTATTCCGACTTCCATTTTGTTGTTTTGGTAGATGTTTTGGATAGTTTTTATAATATTTAGGGGAACTTCTCTATTATTTATTCTTCACAACAATAATAGGTTTTTTCAGAACAAATAAATATTGGTTTGAAATACATGGTGACTCCATATAAGTTTGGGCGTATGTATCTTCCATTCCTTCGTGATACCCATTCTAGAGTTTTGGAACTCTATGCCAGCGTAACTGTTATATGTTACCATATGTTTTTAGATTCATTGGGCCATATCTAAAAAGTATGTCGTTTTGGATCTATTAAGGTCGATTCTCACTATACGTTCCATTTACATTCCATATCCGCGGCTTTCCATTAACATAAAATATTATTAAACACAAATCATATGGTATATGCCCACTTTCCGTTCCGTTTACCTACCATTCCCGAAGCCTCGCGTTCGAGATTACCGGCCACGTATTTTTTCTGCGACGAGCTGCGACGTGTCGGGTACGATATGGATAGTGCGAATATTATTACATCGCGGTTCACTCGAAGTTGTTAAGATAAATATGAATGACGAAAAATTAATAGAACTTGTCAGGCAAAATAATGCCTTATATGATTTTGAAAATAAAAAATATAGCGATAATTGATTTGAAGACAATATTTGGTCAGCTACTGCCAAGTTTTTGCTTAGCTGTAAGCGATTCCCTGAATCTAGTATCCTTATTTGGTATTAGTTCTTCAATACACGAAAGTAATTAGAAGAACTTGAATTTTGGCATTTGAAAAAAATTCAAAGAATTTAGTATCGTCATATATAAGTTCTTTAAATAAAGTTATATATTCTCCTTCAGTATTTCTATGTTTCAACATAATATTATATATCCAATATTTTCGTTTTCCTTTTTTTATTTAAATTATTTCCTTCATCCAATATAGTAGTTGTTATTATTAAATTTTCTTCAGACCACATTTTATCAAGCAGGAAAAATACGCGTATTCCTGTCAAAAACTTGGAATAAAATGTTACCACACTAAACGTAGACGAAAAGTAAACGCGACGTCTAATGAGAATGGTGGTTAAAATAATGGGAAGTATATTGAACGGGTATGGAAAGTAAACGGAACGTATAGTGAGAATCGACCTTTATACTTCGCTTTTTAATCTAGCGGTTGTTTTTTAATTCATTTGATATAGCGTAATCGTACTCACGTTCGATTGTAAAATGCTTTCTTCCTAATCATAGTTAAGGATATTAGAAATAGGATCGAGTTTTAATAGGTAACTTACAACAAAAGATAACCTAGTTATTTTTCTAGGTGGAGAGGACTGGTGTTGAAGAAACAACTTTCTGTGATGTATATAAAATGTTGGTGACTTGCTCAGCTATTGAAGGATTTAAAATGGTGTCGTCTACAATCGCCCAAAGAGCTGTTTGCAGATTAAGTGCGTCTAGGTTAATTTTAGCTGATCAAAAATGTAATAATATTCACCAAAAAATTATTCTTAATGTTAGCATTGACGACGTGTATTACGCACTACAGAAAAATAACGGATAAACATTTAGTTTTATATTAATGTTTAAATTTATATTTATACTCAGGATTTCAAATATTTAGGTAGTAAGTTTTACTGAATCAGAAATGTTTCTTTAAATTTTATGACACTCTTGTTACTTCCATGATTTGAAAATATGCGAAATATTTTGAAGTGAGTTTGTTCTGACGTCATCGAATTATTGTTAAAAAATTTGATATATTTTGTTTACAACTGTTGATAGATTTGACTGCTTCTTGACAAACATTGATTGATGTATGTTTTAATTAAAATTTAAGTAAGTTACAGTTTTTTAAGTTTTCACAAATATACAGAGTGGCCCAAAAGTCTGGAAACGGCTAATTATCTCGTAAAATGCTAATCATAATTGTACAAAATTTGAGGTACACCTATTTTGGGATACGGAAATTCCATATTTGATATTTACAATTTTGCCAGATTTGCCGTTTTTCTTATATTATCAGTAACTTTGGCTTTTCAAATACATCACCCTGTATATTATTGGAATCTCCTATTCAATATGATTCAACCATATGTAACACTTATGATTTTATGTAATCTGGAAGGTCATAAATACATAAAACCGCAAGTCTGGCAACGCCTAAATTATTTCAATAAATTTTTTAATACTAACTATTTTCTAATACATTAAAACGTAACAATTGATAGTTTAGAGCATTTTTTAACATAGTAGTTACGTTATTAAGTGTTCAAAATGTGCTCAATTTGTGATATTTCAACAAGGATATTTCCTGCGTGTTTGAACTGCTCTGCAGAAATGCCGTCGACTCATGAAGGCCTTACCCATTCCTTACTTACAGTCTTGAAGGAGGTCCTATTAGGGTATCCTTATTAAATCTTTGAGACGATAAAACGTATTATTCAACTTTTCTGCAGTGAACTTCCTTTGTTTGCCCTGTTCATTTAATAATTGGAGTTCTTTCATAATCTCTGTCTCAACAATTCGCATTTTCCTTCAATGTACGTGTTACACACAGCCGTTGTGTGGTGTAGCAACTTTTAAACCGTTGAAGTTATCTGCCGTTTGCTAATTGTCATAAATTATTGTTTCTTCATTTTCGAAATAACTGATATTTTTCAGTCTTTCGAGAATCTTTTAAAAATTTCATATTGTAGTATATGTAGAAATTCTTGCTCTTATTCCTGTATATATGAAGGGCTGACCTGATTCTGTTAGCTCGGTGATACATCCATGCGATTAAGAAGTGCTTGGCTTCTATAAGGATGGGATCTATTTTGTTTTTTATCATTCACAATATTTGCACATTACCCACATTACTCTTTTATTGAAAGTCGAGCTTTCGAAACTGTTTAGTTTCTGTTAAGACAACTAAAATGTATTGTAGTTAGTTTTATGACTTCGTTTTAATCCGTTTTCTTCCATCGTCCATCGTAGTTCCATTTTTTTCTTGGTCTTCCTACTGATCGTTTTCCTATTGGGGAAGCGTCTCTTGTCGTCTTTACTACTTTAAGTGTTTTCATCTTTGCTGTTTCTAACATACTTTTTGTCCTAGTTGTTCCAGGTCGTGTCTCGGCCGCGTATGTCATTATTTGTCTGATAACTGTTTTGTAAATTCTGCCTTTCATTTCTTTCCCGATATTTTTATTTCTCAATATTGTTTCATTCAGGCAACCTGCGGCTCTGTTTGCTATATTCACTTGATCTTTCACTTCTGTTTCGAACTTTCCGTAGCTAGATAATATGATGCTTAGATAATTAAACTCCAATCACTTGTTCTATTATCTGACCTTTCAGGTCCTATTTACATCTTAATAAATTTGCTATTATAACCAATTTTCTGGCAGTTATTTTAAATTGGTGCAGCAAGCGTTGTAATCTTCTAATCATGTTTCACTTTGAGGGAGTAGTATTGCATCGTCTACATAGCAGATTATTTTAAGTTGTTTTTCTCCCATTTAGTATAGTATTCCATATTTTTAGTTCTTACCTTTTTTATTATTTCATCCATAATCAGGCTGTACAATAGAGAACTCAGGGAATGTTCCTGCCGTATCCCATCGCTAGCTTTAATAGGGTCAGTTAGTTCTTCTGTACTTTTATTTGTGTTGTTTTGGTAGACTTACATTAACTCTGCAAATAGTTATTCCACTCGTATTTTGGTAATGTCAAAATTGCATTTGTAAAGTCATCGACCGTATTTTCTGACGACTGTAACCTATGACCATGTCCTTGATTTTTAGGAATGTAAGAAATGCGTCGGGATTGTGGGGGGAGGGGATAATTTAACAATTCGATGTTTTTAATTGTCTTGCAAGCTTCCAGAAATCGTCGTTTGGGATTGGAGTTTCGAAGCTCTGAGATAACTGCGGCAAATAAATGATTAAATATTTTATATATGGAAATAACCACAATTAATTCTAATAAAAATGACTGTTATTTGTTTCTGGCGTTTCGATATTCAATACGGAAATCGTTCTGAACAATTCTTGAAGTAAAAGTTGTAATCAATTGATATAACCTCCAAATGTTGTTTCCTCCAAAATCTTAACAATTAAGACTTCCCTGGCCTCTCTTTTGGAGATATCAGCTATTTTGACACCCCTACAGATGAAAACCTTGAAAAGTGTTATATCCTCGATTAAGATCGATTTGATGATCCCATTGATCATCAAATGGGTACACCAATCAGTTGTAACAGTTCTGTAATCTTCTAGTTGCGGTCATCTTTTTGAAGATTTTCAAGAACAGATGATTTTTGTCGGATTTCCCTCATCTTGGAAAACGCCAAAACAACCGCCTACCGTTTACGTGCCTCATATCAATAAATCCACTATTCGTTATCAGTCGCGATGTTGAACACGTACACGATGAGTGTGGAAATGGTCTTGCGAGTTTTTAACACCGATTCACGTAAGTTATCTTGTCTTCTTCAAAAGCGCCATATTCAAAGGGAATATTTGTATAAACAATTCTTTCTGAATTTTTTTGAATTGTTGTCTTTAACGTTCTCACTTATGCCTCTGTTTTCCGATAAGTCACATGTTGACATTTGCAGAAATTTTCTTGACTGACTAAATTTTTTAGTGCACCTACTAACACTAATCACGGTTGAATTTCATCAACGAGAAATTGTCGACTGTATTTAGTTTAACCAAAGACGAAGATAAGTTTTTAATACTGACATTTGATAAGTGGTGCACTCTATTTTACAGTATGCAAAACATCAAAACAAGTCTCATAATATCTTAAAATATTGTGGTATCTGTGTACAAGTATACTCTGATTAGAGTACACAGTTCAAGTTTATCAACTTTTGTAAACAAACGTAAAAATTTAGAAAATTATTTGTGATTTTTCTTTTAGTTTTTATTTATTTTTGAATTGTATATATTAGTTACAGGATTTTAGTTTTTCATATTTTATTTTTAGTACCTAATGATAGTTTTCACTTGATCAGGTTAAGTTTGAGTCATTTTATTGTTACCTGTTTTTTAAAATACTTCCTTTTATTGTTACGACCTCGAAGTTTATCGTGATTCTCCTTTTTTTATTATTTTTATATTGAATGCTATTTAAAAAACAGGTTTTAATTGATTAGACGGCACTGTTTTTATAAACAAAAAACACGTGGAAAATTTGTATTTTACAATTTTGTAATATATTATTAACTCATTATTAGTAATGCTTTTATTACCACTTGGCTTTTTAACATTCCGTGTTCACTCTGAACTTAATCAAACTATAATAAACATACAAAAAGAAAAACGGGATGTGGTACTCCAGGAGTGAACGAGGAGGGAAGGGGCATACTGTGGCGCACTCAGGGGGTTGGGGATTAAACCCCCTCCCTGGGGCAGTAACATATAAAGAATAGTAGGAAAATGTAACTTGTCTTTCACATACAATACAAAACATCCAAAACGCAAATTTAATAATTTAGTTACAACTTTAAATATGTAGAATACAATAATTATTGTATAAATACACAAGACAGATACAAATAGATGCCTATACTGCAAATATTCCGCATTTTACTCACACAATGCTGGAGTGTAATATATGTACAGTGGAGAGAAACAGAATGTATAAAGAAATAGGTATGAACCCTGTAACTATAAGAGAGATGATCGTGAAGATGACGGTAAGTACGGAGGGATGGAATAGTGTTCACAATTACATCCGAGCAGTCATTAAAAGGAAAGAAGAAGAAGAGAAACACCAACCGGACCAACGACAGAGATAAGATCTAAATACTATTTTAATGGGAATAAGCCACAATTAAAGGTTAAAATAAGTTTATTGTCGTTTGAATCTCCACTTTGGACTAAAGTTCTCCACACATCAGGCACTATATTAAACTCTTTTGCTGAATGCCAAGAAAACGGGCTGAGTGATCAGAAGATCTACGCTTGGATCTGCAAATCATAGCGAATGGAATGTCCAATTAAAGGGGCTGCCAAGCATTATAACATTCCTCGCTCATCGCTAGGTCTTTATCACAGAACACATAATCCCTTAAGAAAGCTTGGAAGATCATCAAGCTTTCTGTGTTTTGGTGTTGTCTGCAGCACAAGAAAATGATCTTTTCGAAAAAATTTACACATTGGTTGAAGTAGTTATGCCTATTACAAGCAAGATTCTAATGAAAAGTGTGTTTTCTTAGTCTAAAACAAATCATATACCAAATCCAATTTGTTTTCTAAAAAATCAAAAAAAGCTGGTAGAATATGGCTTAAGTAATTCTTGTTCCACCAATCCATACGAAGCTAGGCTAAAAGCTCAACTAATGAATACGGCTCGAGCCCAAAAATGAATATAAAATTCGTTGATGATAACTGTCAGTTGATTTCAACGTGTAATGAAATTTTCAGTGCGTCTGTGGATAGGTTTGGTATTTCGTAGCACTATCTTCTTTACAATTAAATTTAAAGAGTGTTTTTGGTATGTTAATAGCGTCCCTGAACATCCGTGAATAGTACTATGATGTATTGGCATTTCTTCACCTAAACTTTCATCCAGATTTAGCCAGATGGTTCACACTCCCTCTAAGGGGAAAATTCACTCATCCACTGGTAGGACTCTTTCCGTGTTATCGAGCCCTAGGTGACTTGGTACGTCGGAGAATCCCCCAAAAATTTTCTTACGCATCTAGATATTGAGAGCAGTACTGCATTTTGGATGGTCTCATAGAAATGTTCATTAAGACCCAGAAGTTCTCTAATAGGCCCTTCGCAACAATTTCATTAGTAGAGAGAATAATAGGTATCGTCTGAGTACTTTCCATTCTCCATTGTCTCCTTATTTGTATTTCCAGATCTCTGTACTTGGCGATTTTTTCGTTATATTTAACATGCAGGTTGTTATTATTAGGTATCGCCACATCCATTAGTGTTGTCTGTCTAGTAAGTTTATTAACTAGTCTGAGATCCGGTCTACTATGTGCCACTAGTTTGTCTGTGAGCACAGTTCGGTCCCAGTAAAGTTTCCCGTTTTGGAGAAGTGCTAGGTGTGGTAGTATGGTGGTAAAGAATCTTCCCTGCTGAAAATTTTATTATTATTGTGTTATTCTTAGTCATATAATTGTTTATGATATTCTGCAACGGCTGATCTTTCGTAGTGAGGGCGATAGCTATGTGCGTGAGATTGTGAACATATTTTTCAACGACTTTCACAATTCCTGTTGAGTTCCGTTACACGAGTATTTACACTACGTCTGTCATTTCAATATACAATACACAACAACTATATTTTTACAGTTGACTTTTTTGTGCATATGTCGTTTGAGTCACTTGGAGTTATGTCCCAAAGGTTTTACAAACCGTTAAAATACATTAATGGATCGTGGAACTCATCGTTACTATATTGTCGTAGCTTTCTCTCGGTAACTGTGAGCGTATAATGCAAATAGTTAGTATGGTAAAATATCCTGATTATTTCGTGACCTAACTGGTAAAGTAGCGAATGTGCGAAATTGACGTATCTGAGCTAATACACTAAATAGCTGTGGCTTGTCAAGATGTATATTCCAGTAAAACAGCTAATGTGCAGGTCCAATATTTACGTCGTTGTTGAGTACTTTTAGTTTAACGAATCTACTCTACTTCACCATTCACTGCGCTAAATAGTCGAATATGAATATTCGATAGGTATATAAGCGAATGTGCCACATTCGCACTTTTACCAAAGTGTATTACAAGCATTGCAGATATTCAAAATAACGAAAGTTGCATATTCGTCAGTTTACCTAATTCTAGTTTTGCAGTGCCGAAAGGAAGTAAATGGCAAATGTTTGTACTTAACGTTTATAAACAAAACCTATATAAGACGTAAAGTATGAACATTTGTTATTTAAATACCAGTCTCCTATTTTCTAGTTACCGTGGAATTTTTTATTGAATTTTATTTTTGAATTTTGATTGGAATTGGAACTTATATGGTAACGTGAGAATTCTCAATCTAAGTACTGTAAAAACTTTAATCTTGTATTAAGTTGAATTTATTTGTTATTTATTTGTATTTAATACTTTAAATATTTCACAGTCACTTATAAGAGGGGTCTTAAATATGTTAACTCTAGTGGAATTCTCCTATCTGACCTACGATGGAAAAAGATCCACCAAATAAAAAATAGAAATAAAAAATTCATAAGAGATCACATTTTATCGTTCCCAAGAATGGAATCACACTATGCAAGGAAGAAATCAGAATACCAATATTTAGACAGTGACTTAAATGTAACAATTATGCACAACTTGTATAAAGAAAAGTGCATTGAAGAAAACAAAAATCAAGTATCTTTAGAAAAGTATAGACGAATTTTTTGTGAGTACAAACTAAAACTTCACAAACTTGCTAAAGATCGTTGTAAGAAATGTATTGCTGATGAAGAGTAAAAAGGAGATACACACTATGATGATACTCTCGATAATGAGCATATTAAACGCAAGGAAGCTGCACGAAAAATTTGAGATCAAGACAAAGAGGATTCAAAGAACCAAGAAAGTGTTTTGGCAATATAATCAGATCTCCAACTCGTTCTAAACACACCGAAAGGAGCTAGTGGACCATTCTTCTACGTCAAAAAGTTGGCTGTATACAACCTTACCATTTACAATCTTAAAGATGCAAGTCTGTTTGTGTCTGAGACGAAACAGAAGGAAACCGGGGCAGTATGAAGATATCGACATGCATCTAAACTTTTTGATGGTCAAACCAATACAGAATTTTTCAGAATGATGTCGGATAGCTGCGGAGGGCAGCAAAAAATTCCAAATTCATTACCATGTGTATGAATGTTGTTAAGGAGTACCCCTCGATCAAACAAATTGATCACAGATTTTTTTAACCTGGTCATAGCCAAATGGAGTGTGACTCCCTTCAAAATAGAGCAGCAAAGTAAAAATGTCCCAATTTTTACTCCGGAGGGGTGGCGTCAAATAATTCGCACTGCAAGAAGTAAGCCAATACCATTTCAAGTAATTCCTTTGTGCCATGATGACTTCATTGATTTCTGTAATTATAAGATTGTTTTTGAGGACCCTGACAGGGGCAATAAAAAATATAACTACTTACCCTTCAAAAAAAGCCATTTGATTTAAGTACCTGTCAACTCATCCAGATGCTGTATTCCTGAGGACGGATTACTCAGATAATGCACCTTTTGTGAAGTACATTGCAAAAGAGATGAAAAACAAACGGGAAGACCTTCTTCTAATAATTCTCCCATAAAATCTTACAAATCGAGGTTCCCAATTGCTACCAGAAAACTAAAAGACCTTCGAAAGCTTTGCAAGGATCCTCAAATACCACGCGATTACCATGATTTTTACACAAATCTTCCCTCTGAGGACAGTGTACGAGATGCCCTTCCAGAGCCAGATGCCTGGGAAGAATCTAAGCGAATCACAACAACTAAACCAGTAATCTTCTAAATTTTAAAGCAAAATTATAAAATTGGTTAGCGTTTCATTAAATTTTGTTCAATCTTAAAGTTTTCTATTCTGTTCACCCACCTCATGAGAAAACCAATCTATAGGTGATACATAAGTACATTCTTCTTTAACACAAATACAGATTAGCTATTTTTTATAGACTAACATTCTAACAATAGTCACTTAGGTAAACTAACGTATGTGACTTTTTCAGTAACCATGGTTACTTATTTATGGCCTATTTTCATTATTAACCTTTTTTAGGCATTTTTTTAAGGTTTCCAGATCAGGTGTGTAAACACAAATAACAGTACAAACAGATTTTTAGTCGAAGTCCAAAGTGTTTTTTAGCTTTCCTGAAAAGTAGCGAATAAGCACATTCGCTACTACCAATTTGGTCACGATTTATACAATTGCACCGTCAAATTGCGATACCTATATCAGATTTGATGGTTTTACACCCAATTTTAAATATCAATCTTCCAATATATCTGTATATCCTTGCTTTTGTGGGACATATCTAATAGAAGAGGAAAACAAAAAAAATATATCTTAAATATTTATTTACAGTACCTAATTAGTATTTTAATACTGACTTTATAAAACATCTTCAATATAAGTTTCAGTAGCTTCGATTAACAGTCCAAAGTCTATATCGGTCAAGCTTGCCTTAGCCGTAAGTAAATCAAGGAATGTATCCAACGGCGACATGTTATTACTCGAAGAAAATGAGCCTAAACCTAAAAAAAAATAATTTTAAAATTATACCATAAATGAGTACCGGGTGGTCCAATAAGCCGATCTCTCGGCTATATATCAGAAACTATTCATGTTATAACTTTAGGAAAAAAAATTCCTTAGTAAAAGTGGCTAAGAGAAATCGCTGGAAATAACTTTCAAGATTCTGGATTAACCGCTAGGGGGCGTAACCTGCGAAGAAAATTTTGAAAACCAGTTTTTTGGGAAATATGTCCAATTATACCAAGTGTTAAATAAGTAAACTAGAAAGGGGCATAAATTCTGCACAAAGTTGTTCAAGTACTTTTTTTTATTTTTTCAAATAAAGGGTGGGGGAGAGTGGGAAAGTATTTGTGGATAAATACCTATAACTTTGGTTTGGTCCAACCGATTTTAATAAAATTAGTGTCATTAGAAAGAGTGTGGATGAATTAATTCACATATACTATAAAATACTTGCATTTAGTTTTCATAGTCGTAGGTAGAGGGGACTTTCAAATAAAAAAAATTAAAATTTGTTTTTCTTCAAAATTTTTAATGGAAACACCTATTTATTGTAAATTATAATGGAACTGGAATAAATTCGTAACAAAATGAAGCAAACCGCATAGCTTTTGTTGAACTCGAGATATGAATAAAAACTCATAAACATAAGTAAGTATAGTATTGACACACCCTGTATTATAAATTACATTAAAAAATAAGTCAGTAGGTATTTTCAAATTTTTTTATAGCAGAAGAATCTTAATGTTGATACCTATTTTGTAAAAAATAGTTTTTTCGAAACTAAGTAGACTACGACAATGAATTTGACGTGGAGTTCATATTGTTTATTTATTGACAGCAGTCAAAACATTGTTAAGAAGTGCTATATTATATTTCGAATTAAAGATTGCACTTTTTTCAATAGATATTAATATTGGTAATATTAGTAATTAATTATCAGTACAAATAATTCGTAATGAGTACATCAAATTGTATGATATGATTGGAGTTTATTTCGAATGTTATCAAAATGCCGCTATTGCCTCACGTATATATTTTGTAAGATATCGTGACAGGAGACATTATGGAAAAGAAGTATTTGAAAGAAAGGCAAAAAGATTAAGAGAAACTGATAGTTTTTCTTGTCCTTGTTTTAAACGACGTAGTAGAGTTATGACCGAAGATAATTCAATCAATGTTCTTGCTTTAATTCATCGAGCAAAAAGATAAAAGAGGGAATGTAAAGGTAGTGGGGACAAAAATATTGTTAGACAGGAAGTGCTATCTTGAGAGGCCACTTTAAACAAGGAAAGACAGTCTCTTTCCTTGTTTAAGAAGTCAAATTTAGTTTGGTTATGTTATTGTTTGTCCCAACTGTCACATGAAATTTTATTTATATTGAAGTTTTTTACCAATTATGTCACTTTTTAGACTATTATCGTTGATATTTAATTAAAACTTTCTTGTCTGAAAAATATTTTACAGGTATTGTTAACAAGTGTTGGAAAATTTAAATTTAGCGCCTTTGCATTTCCGGATATGTCCGCCATCAGAGGCCACTTTTTTGGTCTCCTTTTCATAACGATTAGATTCCCTCTTTTATCTTTTTGCTCGATGCTTTAATTCAACAGAATCCACATATAAGTAGTCCGAAATATCTACTTCTTTGCCACAATATCTCCTGCCAGGATATCTTACAGAATATATACGTGAGACAATAGCGCCATTTTGGTGATATTCGAAATAAACTCCAATCATATCATACAATTTGATATACTCATCACGAATTATTAGTACTGATAATTAATTACTAATATTACCAATATTAATATCTATTGCAAAAAATTCAATTTTCGATTCGAATTATAATACATATAACACTTCTTAACAATATTTTGACTGCTGTCAATAAATAAACAATATGAACTCCCTGTCAAATTCATTGTTGTAGCCTACTTAGTTTCGAAAAAACAATTTTTAATCATATGAAATAACAATGGTCAAAATAGGTATCAACATTAAGAGTTTTCTGCTATAAAAAATTTTGAAAGTACCTACTGACTTATTTTTTAATTTATTTTATAATACAGGGTGTGTCAATACTATACTTACTTATGTTTATGCGTTTTTATTCATATCTCGAGTTCAATAAAAGCTATTAACATGCGGTTTGCGCCATTTTGTTACGAATTTAATCTACTTCCATTATAATTTACAATAAATAGGTGTTTCCATTAAAAATTTTGAAGAAAAACAAATTTTAATTTTTTCTATTCGAAAGTACCCTCTACCTACGACAATTAAAACTAAATGCAATTATTTTATAGTAGATGTAAATTAATTCATCCATACTCTTTCTAATGATACTAATTTTGTTAAAATCGGTTGATCCAAACCAAAGTTATAGGTATTTACCCACAAATACTTTCCCACCCTCCCCCACCCTTTATTTGAAAAAATAAAAAAAAAGTACTTGAACAACTTTGTGCAGAATTTATGCCTCTTTCTAGTTTACTTATTTAACACTTGGTATAATTGGACATATTTCTCAAAAAACTGGTTTTCAAAATTTTCTTCGCAGGTTACGCCCCCTAGCGGTTAATCCAGAATCTTGAAAGTTATTTCCAGCGATTTCTCTTGGCCATTTTTACTAAACAATTTTTTCTCCTAATTTATGCTCCTATCATAGAGATAGTAAACGATAGAGATTAAAAATTATACCTACCTTTAATACTGGGCAAATTTTGATTTCTACTTCTGGTAGGTAATCCTGTAACCCCTGAAAGTATATTATACGCATGTTCTCTTGCACGTAGAACAACGCCTATAGGATGGTTCCATTGATTAAGCAGTCTTTTAGCTCTTTGTCTAGGTAATAGCGAAAGTAACTTTAGTTTTTTAGCAGTATTTTCTTTACTTTCATCTTCTTCTACAAAATAAAAATAATTTCATTAGGTTTCTCCATTCAGGTACTAGTACACTTTTGGTTAAATATTATCATATTACCATATGACTAAGTCAGTCAAAAATAGTATTGAACACACGTGCCTTTTCGGTACTTTGTAGATGTCGAGCGAGCAACGCTATACGTTTTTTCCACATACACAACAGAGTATAATATTTTTATCTTTTACTCATGTTTGCAGTATTTACAGTTCATTTACAGGTATATTTGTCATGACAATATGTCTACACCTTACAGAAAATCGAGTAAAACTACAAAAATAAAAAGCAGAATCAGAACATCTCACGAATATCATGCAAACCAACCAAAAAAGTATCAAACAATATTGATGTTAAAGTTAAATAGATGAAAGTACAGTAATACATTGTATTCTTAATTTCACGCTTGTTTTCGGAAAATTGTCGACAAAACGTGCAACAAAGATATTCAATTTTACAAAACCAGTTTTTGCGGTCTTGCTTTCAAAATCAATGCCAAATTTGAATGTGGTGACCGACAAATAAATTCACGCCACGTGGTACTTAAAGCATTAGAAATCAACCGGCGGCACGTGGTTTTCGTTATGTGCTTGTTGCTCAGTGTTGGTCACAAAAGTTTAGATCTTTTTTGTGCACTGATGGATGTTACTATTTATTTCGGCAAAACAATTTATTGGTTTGACGATGAATTCAAGAATGCAACAAATGAAAAAAATGAAGCCTACAGAAATATGCTTACCCGACGAACAACTGTAGAGATTTACCAGACAAAGAGAAGAGAATAAAGGAGGATACATACAAGAAAAAAACGAAACCACTTAAATAAGGAACTTAATTATTAGAAAATCTCAACAGAGGGAAGGAACTAAGTGTATTCTGTAAAAAAGTTAACATCAACAGAAAAGAATTCAAGGCAACCACAAGACAATGCAGAAGTCAGAATGGCGAGCTATTAACAACAAAGAAAGGTGTACTGAATAGATTGGTGGAATAGTTTAACCAGGCACTTAATATAGAGGTGGAAGAAGAAAACCTGGAAGACGGAAGAGATGAGGTAAGGGGAACAGACGAGAGGGAAGAGGAACCACCAACAATTCTTGAAGTTAAAGATGCAGTTAAAAACTAGCCAGAAACGAATCACCCGGAATAGTCTCCCAGATGAACTATATAAAGAGGGTGGCCACTATACCATAACGATATTGCAGCAGCTTGTAAAAGAAATATGAACACAGAAATTCCACAGAAAATACCAGGCTGGTTTCAGAGATGATAAATCGACAACTCATCACATTGCAACCCTGATAATAATTATTGTATTAGAAGATTCACATCACCACAGTAACGGAAATAATGAAGATTTATATTGCGATGAAGATGATCGGACACACGATTCTAATTTACAAGAAGAATCTGAAGATGATGATGGTGATGAACGTGCTACCGTTTAACGTTTACAGCAATACCTGGATTGAAAATTATGTGGGGGTAGCAATCCTATTGATTACTTAAATTTATTGGCATGTGAATTATTCTATGACCTGATTATTCAAAATAGCAATTTATATGTCATTGATATTCTTTCTAAAAGTAAATCTGAGAAAAGTAGAATTGCAGCTTAGAAGCATATAACTGTAGAAGAATTTGAACTTTTTCTTGGTTTGTTGTTTTACATGGGAACCATAAAAATGAATCGTATTAATGATTATTGGAAGAAAAATCATTTATTTAGTATTCCAGTGTTTGGATAATATATGAGCCGAAATAGCTTTATGTTAATTTTGCGTGCCATACATTTTAACAATAATAGTCCAGACTTGCCAAGATATCTCCATTGTTAGATTAAAAATAAAAATAAAATGGAGAATCTTTATTATCCAGAAAGAAAATTAGCCCTGGACGAATCTATGATTTTATAGAGAGGAAGACTTAGTTTTCGTCAATTTCTCAAGGGCAAACGACACGATCATGGTGCCAAACTGTATACTTTGGCAGAATATACTGGGAGGATTCAACGTATATTAGTTTATAGTGGAGCTAGTGACCCCATAGTTGGAGAACGGAACCATACGGAAAAAGTAGTGCTAAATTTGATGGATTCGAAACCAAATGTTGGTTAATTTTTATAATAGTGTTCCATTGTGTAAAAGAACTACTTTCGGTTAAAACTTATCGTACAGAAACAATGAGAACACACAAATCCACACGAAGTTGTTTCTCGAAAATTAAAACAAAATGAACTGGTGAGTGCGTACAATAATGAAGGGATATGTGTGTGCAAATGGAAAGATCAGCGATATATTTTAATGATCTCTTTCGAATTTGGTCATGAAATGGTTCCAACAATATCTAGGAAATGAATTGATATAGAAAAGCCCCGTTTAGTTGCTGAATATAACAAAAACAAAGTTGGCATTGACTTGGGCGACCAGATGTTAAATTATTATAGTTGCGAACACAAAACTATGAGTATTTCTATAATAATTCTAATACAAAAATGTCGATGTACGACTTTCGTTTGTCGATGATTGATAGTCTTTTGGGACCAAACCCAAAAATCCCTCAAGTCAAGAAAAATTTGACGTTTCATTTGCTATCCTATTGCCCTAAATCAGCTAATGGTATTACAAAACGACGACGGTATAAATATTGCTGGCAAACTAAAAAACAAAGAAAGGACTCATTGTTTTATTGTGCGGAGTGCCCTGAACATCCGGGATTGTGCTTAGAAAACTGTTTTAGACGTTTTCATGAAGAAATTGAAAAGTAGGTAATTAGTTTGTTTTCTTGATGTTGTTGCCAGTTAATAATTACATATGTTAGTTATCTAGGCTCATAATTATATTTTTTCCTAATCAGATTATTATTTTTTTATTTTTTAAGTCCAACCGACACATTTTCTGCCCCGTGGCTACCAACGCGACTCACGCTGTGAGTTTTTTTTGTGACCAAATTAATTTTTTTTGTCCCCATATTTATTATAAATGACTTTTTAAAGCGTACCTTAAAAATTAATTAGTTTACACGAATACATATCAGTGGAATACTGTTTTCCCTTGAAAAAGGGACGGAGCTGAACGTGTTTTAAAAGAAGCAGAATATGTTTCTTAATTAAATTTAATAAAATCATAAAGACTAAGAGGATGATATATTACCTGCCAGTATTATTTTCATTACATCTACTTGCAGTTCGCAAACGTGATTTACTACATACTGTTCAAACATCTCGAACTCCATTGTCCTATATCCTAAATAAGTGAAAAAAGAAGTAAATCCTTGAGGAAGAGGAAACGCTAAGGATTCCACAGCCATGTAATACTTCTCGAGTAATTTAAAAAATATATAGCGTCTGTCTTCTTCTAAATTGTTTCTGAAATAATTACAAAGAAGGTACATTAATAAGGGTTCCACTATTCATCTAAAGGAAGAGTTTTTATTCCCATTATCTATGATTATGTATCTACGTCTATTTTCTATTCAGACAACTCAAAACCATCAAAATGAGCCGTTTGTCCAACCATGATAGAATAATAGAATTCAAAAAAAGCAATTGTTTTGACAGCGTTTGTATTTAACTATATTAACAGTGTTTTTATAAAATAAATTTTCGCTAATTATTTAAATTTTAAATTCATTTTTGTGCTTTGAATATTTTTCAGAAGTTATTCTAACTATAGTCTAAAAAATAAATAATGAAATGAGTAATCCAAAATCCCAGAAGTGAACTGAACAAAATAACCCGAATTACATGTTGATTAAGCAGGGGTTGCTCGACAACAAAATTTGTTTGTTATTAGTGGCTTTAAACTGTATCAATAGAATATTATACTTCTGTTAATATTAAAAGTAATACATAAAGTTTTCTGTATACAACTCCTAGTTTTTTCGTACATATATGTTTGGCCTATATTAATCGTTTATCTATGTGAATGACTAGATATTTTAAATAATCTTTTTCAGGTAAAGAATGTCCATCGAGGTTAAATTGTGGACATGTACCTCTTCTAAAAATGACTAAAACCAATGTAATATATGTAGATTTTAAGGTACACAAAATAGGATGGGGTAGAATGTTGTGTAGGCTTCGCTTTACTTTATTAGATATATCCGTTCTGTAAGGTATGATTTTAAACAGTTTGAAGTAAGCAGTAAATATTTATAATTTCCTACAATTGTGTTCGTATCAAATGTAGGTGAAATGTAAAAAATGTTTACTTTTGAATTTTTCTTACATTAAAATGAATCCCTTATCGACATCTTCCGCTGGATCATATGTTGCCGCTTTGCATACTATTTGGCAAAGTTGTCTAGATTGTTCTAATTGAGCTCCAACGTATCTTGTGGCAACCGCGTGAACGTGCATGGCAGATTGATCGGTCATTTGAAATTTTCTTGTAGTGTCCGAAGTTTGTTTTAACAAATGCATGCTTAACTCCCTCAAGTTCTAAAAATGATTAAAAACATTATTTCACAGATTCGATGAAGACATAAGAATAATTTAAAGACAGCAAGATTTTTTTTCTTTTGGGCAATTTATTCAGCAACTTATTTAACCACTAAATTAAAACACCGCTACCATTGATTGTATTGATGAAACATTTTAGTTAATTTGTTAAATCTAATATAAAAGTGCATTTTTTTAAAAATTAAAGTTTTTTTATTTTAATTTTTTTTAAGAACTCCGCCTGAGTTGTTTGATGGGTGGATTGAGTAACTCATCGGATGACACTGCCGGTTCCAAGCCCGGATAAAGGAAAAGGGTCCCTAAGGTGAAGTTAGCCACCTACTTGGGGTAAAGAATCCATACTGCCTCATAGAACTGAATATACAGCCTAGGATACCGGACGGAACTACCAGATAACGACACCCTCTATGACAACCGAAAAACGAATTGGTAAAGGAAAACCTAAACACCCCATCACACGAATCGCGTGCTGAAACATAACGTCGTGGAACGGAAGAGACCAGGAGATCATAATAGAAATGAAGAAACACAATATAGACTTCTGCGCAATCTCTGAAACAAAGAAAAAGGCCAAGGAACATCAAAATACGGAGAGTTTACACTCATATACAGCGGAAAAGCTAAACAAGCTAAACAGCGGAAATGCCAAATTACGTGCACGACAAAATTGACGTAGATCAGGGATAAAGCATGTTAAAATGTGTATGTACCTCTGTTGATTAAGTGTGACTTGCCTACCGTTTTCTTCAATAAAGTATGGGCCAATGATTCCGTATACCGAAACTGCACACCGGACACTCACTTTTGCGCTATGTAAAGGAACTTCTTGAACTTCACCTGGTCTGGCAAAGCCCAGAAATCGATTTGTGCGACGATTTAGATGGCCTAACAAATGAAAATGTGCTTCGTCTGAAAACCATACATTTTTCAAAAATTCAGAATTTTCATACTGTAATGCAAGAATTCTGGCACAATATTATACTCTACTGTGATAATCCCTGGGATGTAATTGTTGATGTATCTGAATCACATACGAAAATGCACCCAGCTTCTTCAGGATTCTTTGCAAGGAAGTTCGTTTTAAGCCAAGATGCAACGCTGTTGTTGTCTGGCTGGCTTTCGGATTTTCCAAGATTCGCTCAAAAACACGTTCATGGTCATCGTTGTTGTTAATTGTCCTGGGACGCGCTGAGTTTCCTTTTCGTAGGCACAATACATTACCCGCATTTCTAAACTTTTCAACAACCTTCAAAATTACAGCATTACTTGGAGAACGTTTACTAAACCGTTGCGCGTTGTGTGAATTGATCACACATGTATTGCAGACTTGCACTATTACGTCGGTACAAGAAATACTTTCTCCTCTATACTTAACACCATTTTTAACAATTAGGCCTTAATAATTAATTGTTTAAGGATTACTTGACAGGTCTATACTAGTTAATTTGAATATGACAGCCCACAAAGAGACATCTATGTTTCAGTTTCAGTACTGTTTACTTTGGGCAATACTGTATCTCCCAAAATTTCAATCTAAACATTCAACTTTTGTGGATATTGCATATACCTATACTCAAATGCTTTTGTTCCTGAGACCAATAACGTACACCGGATGGATTACGTTTTATTTGAATTGTGAAGAAGGACTCCATTGTAAGCAAAATATGCTTTAAGAAATTGTTATTTTCATTAGATTTGTTTAATACTTAATTTCTTAAAATACTTGTTGAGTGGTGTGCACTTTATAACAATGGGTGTTATGCGATTTGTAGTGTAGACTCTCCCGATGGTTACACCTGTGATTTTTTCTACCGTTAAATTGCATCATTCTATATGGCTTAAATTTCTAATAAATGTTAAACATATTTTGCAGCACTTATTTTTATTCTGACCCTATAATATATTAAAATTTTTAAAGATTTCTATTTGGGTACAATTATATAATGAATAAATTAAAATTGGTGCGCACCATTGACCGCATAGGGTGGATATTCCTGTATATAATGAGCTTTTATTTCATTTTATTCCTACGCTTAGAATATATTCTTTTGTAATATTTGATCGATTTGGGCTGTAACCTAATCAATAGAGAATATATTCGTATATACCCCATTTCAGAAATGTAGCAAGATTTTTCTTAGGTGCATACAATTCACCGACTTTCCCCTAACCAGATTTTTGACTACAAATAATTTCAGATAAGTATTAAAAAGTATGTTTACATCTTACCACAGAGATAATATGCTCCTGTCTACTGGCAGTACAACTATCCATTTCATAGAAAGGCAGAAAATCTGTTTGATTTCTTGTGCCACTTAAAAAATCCGCAAACGTAGAAGATGCTCCTCCGCTTGGAGACAATGGCGTAGAACATCTAGAGAGGGCCTCTGGCTAATAACATAAAAATTATAATAATATAAGTTTTATAATAATATTAAAATAAATGAAGAAATATTATTAAACGATTAACCATTTGTGCTGTCTCAGTAACGTAGTGCTAGTAGCGGATAACGAAATCTACTATACTACTACTATATCAATGTCTAAAGGCTTTTAATATATCTAAATATTGATACTTTAATATTTATTCTAATCTTTGCAAATATTAATGTTATTCTCCTCCGTAACTCCGTCCCCTGCTCCTTTTAAAATTCAGCATTCTTTCAAAGAACTCGTGTATTCGTTGTAGAACTAATGACAGCAACACTTAAACTTTCTTTAATACATTTAATATTTTCTTTTACGCATGCAAATCTTTTCATTTATTCTGATTTGTGATGAGGATTAATAATAATTATTTATTCTTATTGTTTTGGTAAATTGGTATAGGGCACATTCATAAACATTACTTTTCTTAATTTTACAGAATTAATATTTTTTAATCACACACATCTTACTTTTACTACATTAACGGAAATAATAAATCATTACCACTAAATCTTGATGCTGTCTCACTTTTACATGAAATAATGTTTCTTACACCTCTCTGGGAAAATGTCTAACCAACCATAATAGTTGACCAATATCAAGAATATACCAACAATAATGAAGTGATAGTAATTCGGGGACCTATCACCTATAATTATACACAATACATATGAAGGGCCACGGGAAAGAACGATCAGACTCACATTTTGTTCATTTTGTACAAATCGAATTTTAAAGTTTTAAGTCATTTATTTTGGTTTAGGAAAATTAAATACAAAATATTTAGTTATCAGTTTATTACTATAAGACTTTTTAATACACAAATGAAAAAAAAATAGTTATAGCTAATAGCTAATAGCTAATTATATATGTACTTAAAATCTTCAAATTTTTAATTAAGAAGCTGGACTCTGATCTATTTTGCGCGTTAAATGTCGATTGGTGGATCTTCGCAAATTTCACATTACTACCTTCATTCGTACCGTCATCGGAAACTAGTCCTTGGTAAAAGAAATGCGCTTCAGGATTTGTTAGGAATTGGGTTAGGTGCAAAAATCAAGCAACTTAGCAGTCTCAATAGACAGAAATTCATTAATATAGCTTCTTTAGTGGAACAGGTTTCAATTTTCTCTTACGTGCCTGATTTTTTGAGGGAACTAACACGGCTGTAAGATATAGGCCAAAATAGTGGTCTTTGTGTAATACAAACCCTGAGTGTTTTTTTTTCTTATTTTTAAAATCCTGATAGGCCTAGTCGCCGTAGGACATTTTGGCACATAAAGATGGGACAAATGTGTGAAGACAAAAATGCTTTATAGCAAACAACAGTATCTTGTAACGAGCCACTCACATTTACCCGAACTCTAGGTATAGATATAAGAAGATTGATTAAAACTGGCTTGAGCTTCAGAGGTTTGGCTTCTCCGTCTACCAACAGGTATAACTGTGACTAGACCTGTTAAACATTTGTTTTGAACATTATATTCCCCTAACTCATTAAAATGAGAAATTAATCGCTGTCTTTCATTCAAAAGGATGACATGAAAACAGTTGTAACGAATGCACTTTAGTCTTCCCCGACCTATTTTCATTAGATATATCACTAAGATCACTTGACATTATGAATTTTCTCAAAAACAAACTAATGAAAACTGCAAAGCAGCAGCAGCTCGCTTAGCCATTACAGAATAGAACTGACACTAAAATGCTATAGATGCAAACTACAATCTACGTTTAGTTAAAAGGTCATCGGAATCTGATCGTTATTAGCCGTCAGCGCGAGGAACCTGATCGTTCTTTTCCGTTGGCTTATATCTTTCCTCTATATTATCTTCTGTACGGTGATCGTTATTTGTACAAACGAAACCATGCTTGGGTTCTTTCCAAGAAAAGCTAAAATATGGCTTCAATATCTAAATTCCGATTAAAAATGGAGTCTGATCGTTCTTACCCGTGGCCCTTCATATGCAATTCACAAATTTGTAATCTAGGTTACACAACCACAACTACGATACACATTACATAAAACTATAATGAGAAAACACACACACACACACACACACACACACACACACACACACACACACACACACACACACACACCACACACACACACACACACACACACACACACACACACCACACACACACACACACACACACACACACACACACACACACACACACACACCACACACACACACACACACACACACACACACACACACACACACACACACACACACACACACACACACACACACACACACACACACACACACACACACACACACACACACACACACACACACACACACACACACACACACACCACACACACACACACACACACACACACACACACACACACACACACCACACACACACACACACACACACACACACACACACACACACACACACACACACACACACACACACACACACACACACACACACACACACACACACACACACACACACACACCACACACACACACACACACACACACACACACACACACACACACACACACACACACACACACACACACACACACACACACACACACACACACACACACACACACACACACACACACACACACACACACACACACACACACACACACACACACACACACACACACACACACACACACACACACACACACACACCACACACACACACACACACACACACACACACACACACACACACACACACACACACACACACACACACACACACACACACACACACACACACACACACCACACACACACACACACACACACACACACACACACACACACACACACACACACACACACACACACACACACACACACACACACACACACACACACACACACACACACACCACACACACACACACACACACACACACACACAACACACACACACACACACACACACACACACACACACACACACACACACACACACACACACACACACACACACACACACACACACACACACACACACACACACACACACACACACACACACACACACACACACACACACACACACACACACACACACACACACACACACACACACACACACACACACACACACACACACACACACACACACACACACACACACACACACACACACACACACACACACACACACACACACACACACACACACACCACACACACACACACACACACACACACACACACACACACACACACACACACACACACACACACACACACACACACACACACACACACACACACACACACACACACACACACACACACACACACACACACACACACACACACACACACACACACACACAACACACACACACACACACACACACACACACACACACACACACACACACACACACACACACACACACACACACACACACACACACACACACACACACACACACACACACACACACACACACACACACACACACACACACACACACACACACACACACACACACACACACACACACACACACACACACACACACACACACACACACACACACACACACACACACACACACACACACACACACACACACACACACACACACACACACACACACAACACACACACACACACACACACACACACACACACACACACACACACACACACACACACACACACACACACACACACACACACACACACACACACACACACACACACACACACACACACACACACACACACACACACACACACACACACACACACACACACACACACACACACACACACACACACACACACACACCACACACACACACACACACACACACACACACACACACACACACACACACACACACACACACACACACACACACACACACACACACACACACACACACACACACACACCACACACACACACACACACACACACACACACACACACACACACACACACACACACACACACACCACACACACACACACACACACACACACACACACACACACACACACACACACACACACACACACACACACACACACACACACACACACACACACACACACACACACACACACACACACACACACACACACACAACACACACACACCACACACACACACACACACACACACACACACACACACACACACACACACACACACACACACACACACACACACACACACACACACCACACACACACACACACACACACACACACACACACACACACACACACACACACACACACACACACACACACACACACACACACACACACACACCACACACACACACACACACACACACACACACACACACACACACACACACACACAACACACACACACACACACACACACACACACACACACACACACACACACACACACACACACACACACACACACACACACACACACACACCACACACACACACACACACACACACACACACACACACACACACACACACACACACACACACACACACACACACACACACACACACACACACACACACACACACACACACACACACACACACACACACACACACACACACACACACACACACACACACACACACACACACACACACACACACACACACACACACACACACACCACACACACACACACACACACACACACACACACACAACACACACACACACACACACACACACACACACACACACACACACACACACACACACACACACACACACACACACACACACACACACACACACACACACACAACACACACACACACACACACACACACACACACACACACACACACACACACACACACACACACCACACACACACACACACACACACACACACACACACACACACACACACACACACAACACACACACACACACACACACACACACACACACACACACACACACAACCACAAAACAGATATTTCCACACAAGTCAGAATATAATATTCCGAGGGTAAAAACACCACCCCCAGCTTTTTTAAACCATAAGTATGCTGTTGCCTAAAAGTACGTCGACCATCAATTTTGAAAAATATAACCTACAAACAACAACGAGTTAGCTATATACTGTGACAACGACTTGTTGGTTGTATATATTTTCCCAGAAGTTTTTTCTGAAAACCGATTTCCGGTGTGGAAATCGAAATATCATTATATCATTACGATTTTAACTAACATTAGTTAGTTAAAAATGTAATTTTCATTACAACCAGTAATTGTAGCCTAATCCCATATATACCTCTGATTTATTTAGTGCCTCAGTATTTGAGATTTAAATTTTAAATGTATTTAAATTTATATATTTTTTATGTGATCCTTTATAATATTATTTTCTTCATTTTAAAAATTCAATTGTCTAGAATATTCCTTAATATTTGATATTTTGAAAATTCGTCACTTATTAACTATTCTCGTTTTGTATTGTATGTTTTCGCAACGCTGTGGGGTTTTGACGTCGTAAATCTTGAACGAAGTGCACTCTTTTTTAAATGAAAAATTCTATACACATAATATTCAAATTAGACATATCTACTACAAAAAAGCAGCTTCAGAACCTACCAAAAAAATTCAACTCACTTGATAACAGTCCAACGAAATTCGCAGCTTATCTAATACTTGACTAGATCTAAATCTTAATCCAGCTTTTGATAACTTGGCGAGATGGTCCCATAGCTTTACCCATAGATCGCTTTTATATGGAGTAATCCGCAGTTGGGGCGATATTACCATCATGGAGGCATTCCAAAGTACTTCTTGTCGTAGGTTGATTAAGTAATCATTATTCTTAAGTTCCATATCAAATCCAAGACGCAGAGTTGTAATCGGAAGTAAAGTCGCTAGTTTTGCGGCGTTTGAGGGAAGATTTTTTTGTACGGATGCATAAGATGTAGCCAGAAGAAATTCTTTGAGAAGCTCGGGGTAATCTATAGTGAACGGAGTAGCTGAATGCCAACATATTAACTAGAAATAATATAAAAATTCATTAAACAATTTTACAATTTATCATACATACAAAACCGTGTTCAATAAAATTATTTTTAAACATAAGATTCCTAAAAATACACTGCTCCAAGAAATTAACGCACCACTTTAAAACTTACCATATAACATAAAAATATTAACTAAAATGAAAAGCATTTTATTTCGTATTACTTTACTTTGTAAAACAAACATATTTAGTGATGTTGCCGACAACCATCTTCAATATTCATAAACTTAACACAATTTTAAAACAATTAACATCAAAATCTCCAATTCTAAAAATAGAAATTCTTCAATTTTTTTGCTTAATAAGGCGTATTTCCGCCCCTGCTGACAGCTTGGCATCGACGATTCATACTTAAAATGAACGGTCTTAAAGTATTCTGATCCAGTTCATTCCAAATTTGGACAAAACGTTGTTCCAGCTCCTGCAGAGTGTTTGGTTGATTAGGAAAATTCCGTAGACGTCTACCAAGCAAGTCCCAAACATTCTCTATAGGATTGGAATCAGCACTATTCGCTGGCCATTTTATATCGTCGATTCCAACTTCCTCTAGATAATTTGGCACTATATTTGCAACGTGCGGTGCATTAGAACAAAATTTTCGCCAATATAAGGAGCAAATGGCACAACGTGGTCTTGAAGAACGTCAACTATATATTGATGAGCGTTGATGGTACCGTTATTGAACACGGCTGGCCCTCTGGCAGGTATATGATTTACCAAATTACCTCCTTGAGAGGTTGGCGAACAGTTTCACAGCTGATTCGAACATTATGAATATCTTCAAGTTGGGATTGTAAGCTTCTAGTAGTTACAAATCGTTGTCTTAGGGTGCGAAGTCGTAAAAAACGGTCTTGAACAGACGTTGTTACACGATGTCGACCTTGTCCTGGACGCCTAGTGTGACTACCGATCTCTCTGTATCGTTCCATCATTCGTGAGCCCGGTGTATGGTGTACGCCGAACCGTTTCCCTAAATGTCTGTAACTCCAACCTTCTTCGTGCAAACAACTACTTGAGCACACTCTTCGTTAGTCAAATTTCTCGATTCGCATTGCATTTTGATTAAAACAATAGCAAAATGTTACCACTAAACACCAATAGTTCACACAACGCTGAAAAATGACACTAACCTCTTATCGATATTAACAAATTTACAGCACCTTTGTTTTGTGTTCCTTAGAAACCAGTTGAAACAAAAAAAAAACAATACAAGTAACCTGATAAAAACATTCCAAATACATGGTATATTCCATACAAAAATGAATACAATTAAATTTAAAACACCAATTAATCGCTTTTTTTGTTTTTGTAAATGGTGCGTTAATTTCTGGGAGTAGTGTATATAACATGTATATTATAATAAATATACAAAATTCTTACATATACTAACTTAAACAGTCAAAATTGAATCAACAGATTTTTATCAGTTTGCTTCATACAGTATGACCCACTGAGATTGGAAAAAAAAATTGGAAAAATTTGAAGTTGTTAACCTATTTTAACACTTTTTTTAATGTCATATAATAATAGCTTTACTACGGCACATAATTTAAAATGTTTATTAAATTTCCAGAGTATACTACGATACTTTTCCTTAGTCAAAAATGGAGAATTTTTATTAAAAATTTTTTTATTGGAAAAATTCCTATGCCTCGCCGCTTGATTTAGAGTGGTTTCAAATATGTAAAAATGTCATAACCATATATTTGTTTTCTCTGTCAAAGTTAACCATTAGAAAACAGAAGTGAAAATTATACGAGGAGTTCGACAGGGATGTATATTGTCACATCTAATATTCAACATCTCATAAAAGGCCATTTTCCAAGAAGCACTATAATATATAGAAACAGTAATACTATAAAATGGCGAATGAATAAACAATTTTAGACATAAAGCATTGTCATTTATGCAATACTGTATACGAACTACAACTATTAATAAACAAAGTAGTTGAAATTAGTAAGAAATGTAGCCTAAACGTTAACATCAGAGAAACAAGTCGCGAAACTTATTAAAGAAAAAATTGGTGAGGTACAATTTATCATTAATGAGGAATTGGTAGAACTGGTGTCAACATACACACATCTTGGTACCCTAGTTAACAAAAAGTGGGACCGTTCCCAGAAAATAAAATGAAGCACAAGGAAATTCAATAAGAGATTTAATCCAAATGTCCAAATTACCCAAAAACTATAATTTCATACTCAGATGTAGTTTCCTAGATATTTCCCATTCGGAGTAAGGTTTTGACCTCGACATGAGGACACAGCAAAGACACTATTAATATTAATTAATGAAATGCATTCTACAAGGAATAGCTCAGGGTAAGCGAGGCGTCAGCACAAGACGGATACCCTGACTAAAGAACTTAATGCCCTGGTTTGCAACATCACTCACAGGCCTATTCAGAGTAGCAACGAATACAATTATTGGCCGAGTCATTGCCAACAGTGCTTAACGATTAGGAACGGGAAGAAGACACAAGCAAGGTGTAATGTATTGGCCATATAATTATAAACCCCACTCGAGACGCTCATGTATTGCTAATTATCGCATTATGTTTCAGTTAGGTTACAGGTAAAAGAATTAACCAGTTGTGTTTGATATGTAGTGAAATAAAGATTTGTTTTGGGTTCATCAAGTGTTTTTGTACCAAACATTTCACAAGGAGTCGACCTTTAATTGAGTGCTTAAAGTATTTCAAATATTTACCTACCTCAGATGCAGTTTCAACATCTTCCATATGAACCAAAAGATAATGTAAAATCGCTAACTTGTTCTCTAAAATTGTGTCTGATTTGAAAGTTTCTATCATTAAGTTTTCCAAAACGCTCACGTCTATTATATCTAAGTTCGACAAATTTATGATATAGTCATCGGCCGATATAAGCGGAGCCAAGTACAGTAGGTGTGGTTCTTTGTCCGATATTAAGGGATTTATTGTAACATGACACACTGGTTCATGTAGTAGTCCTACGTCTAGTACATGAGTACATATTTCTGGAATGAACACAATGAGAGAGTCACCTAAAACAAATAAACTTTGTTGATAACTCAAATATCGTGAAAAAAAAATTAAATCTCATCAATGGATAAGTTTTGCTTTACAAAATGTTGAAGGCTTTTATTAGTTGACTAGTGGTCCCAGAAGTACCCGACCCAACAAAGAAAACACAACAAATTGGAAAAAATGTATTTATTTTTAAAAAATATAATCTCCTTTCAGCTCTATACATTTTTCCCAGCGATGTTCAATAAGTTCGATACTCTGTTTATTGAAAAGTGTATGTGGTAACAATTCAAACTTTAATTTATGAATTTTGATCATTGCAATAACGGAGCTGAGAGCTGGTGCAATGTCTTGACGAAACAACACTATCTTTTTAGCTAAATGTCGCCGTTTTTGCTTGATTTCTTTGCTTAAACCTTGCAATAAGATCCCATAATATTCGCCGTTAATAATTTTTATTTTTACAAGATAGTCAATAAAAATTATTTTAACTACATTGCAAAAACTCGACGCCATGACCTTGCCTGCAGTTGAAACGGTCTTTGCATTTTTTGGAACCGTGTCTCCCTTTTGAGTCCATTGCTTTGATTGTTTTTTATCTCAGGTGTGAAGCGATGAATCCATGTGTCATCCATGGTTATAAAACGACTTAAAAATTCTGCTTTGTTGCTATGAAACTTTGTTTTGAAACACTTAATATAAACATCTTAACGACAGTGCTTTTGCTCGAGTGTGAGCAAATGCAAAAAGTCTGCAAGCTCGCGGCTTTTAGTCGACGATCATCCAGTACCACTTTGCGAATATTCTTCACTGTTTCTGGAATCGTCAACTCATTTGGCCGACGACTGCTATACTCATCTTGGCAGCTCGCACGGTTTCGTTTAAACTCTGCTACCCAATATTTTACTGTTGTAAACGAAAGAGCAGACTCACTCAGAGTAGCTTTTATATTGGTTGGGCTATATTGTATCACATAATAATAAATCTATCAATAAACGTTCTATCTATCTATCTATCTATCATAACGATGACCGATTTTCTCTATTCCCACACACTGCTGCCCAACAAGTACTAAGCAGCGTGGCGTCTTCAAACTTAAAACACATGCTTTATAGTGTGTACTTTCTAATAGAGTGATGTTTTTCAAACAACTCCACCACCATCTCTCCCAGGAGTACCTGGATCAGGCCAGGTACTTCTGGGACAACCTACATACAAAAGGTCGGTAAAAGGTAGAAGCAAACAATATAAGTAAAAAATACCCAATAACGTGTGTCTAATGGATTACGTCAACATATATTTAAGACTAGCAAATATTTACCTGACAAAAATTAAGTTAAACTAGATTCAAAAATTGAACATTAAAGGAAACAGACATACGTAATTTAATCATATTTCTGGCCCATGCTATGAAGGGAATTTAACTTTGTATCAATGCAATTCAGTCGCATTTATATAAAGCGACAATTTTATGCCAAAAGAGTGCGGATGTCACAGCAAAACTAAGGAGGTCATTTATACAATATACCTCCATATATACCTCCTTTTTTTCTGGAAATCTATTTTGTCTTTGAGTTCTTGTTGTTTTGCTTCTTTATCTCATAATTCGGTTGTTAGTAGACCTATATACATATCTAATATGTTCGTGCCATTCGTTTTAATTCTGTACATTTTTTATGACATTGATTATTTTACCTATGTTTGCTTCAAATTCTAAGCTATTTTTTACATCAGGTACAGTGTTACTAAGCATATTCCTGACTTCTTAGTTCTTACATCTGGACCGCAGATTTTTCGTAGATCATAATTTTTTTCCTGGAACTGGAACAATCACGTTGCTTGCTTACAAGTTTTAAGCCGATAAAAGAAGTTCCCAAAACTCAATATGATAAAAATCATAAATAAAGGTAACATAAACCAGATCTTTCAAAAAATTTCTTATAGCAGTCAAGTGTAACTTTCAAATTCTTTACTATTAAACTGGGAATAAGCCACAATTAAAGATAAAAATACGTTTATTGACGTTTCAATTTCCACTTCGGAAATCGTTCTCAAAATACAAACAGTAAATTAAACAAATTTTGTTTTTTGTTACATAGTGAAAAATTCTTCTAATAATTTAATTTTGTCTGACTCATTTATATTGACAATTCAGATATACATTATGCATTTTAAAGTAGACCACTTTAAAATGATATTGCCAATATTATTGAGTTGCGCTCCTGGGACGACTTTTATAAAATACCTTGTGAATGCGATCAGTTTTATTTAGGTGAATCATCAAGGCCATTAAATGTTAGAATAAGTGAACACCAATCTTATATTAAAAATAGAGAATTTGATAGATCTCAAATCTGTAAACACGCATGGGATAATGAACATAGGGTTCAACGGAATAATTCAAAGGTAGTCCTAAAAGAAACGGATGGTAAAAAAAGAAAAATCAAAGGAGTGGCTCTAATTACGCTAAATGAGGCCAATTGTGTCGCAAATTCCTCGGCAGAATGTAGTAGGATCTGGTTACCAATATTGAAAGAGGAAGTTATTAATAAGAAAATACCAGTATTAGTAAGTCAGTAACATATAGAGGATACATCATTTATGTTTTTTAAATAACGTAACATATAAAATCAGAATTTTGATGTTTGTTGAAGGTAAACTAAATTCACGAACAAATACTTACAATGTCGGGATAGTATTATGAGGTTTTTTTCCTGGTTTTTACCTCATAATTTACTATGGAATTACTAACAGGAGAATTTTACTGTCATCATGTCATGTGTTTGTCTTTTTAAAGACGAATTACATGCTATGATTTTTTTCTGACGGATATTCTCAAGTTAAAGTTGATTTCATGTAATCGAATGAACTATCTTATAAGTAAAGTCGTCCCAGGAGCGCAACTCAATAATATTGGCAATATCATTTTAAAGTCGTCTACTTTAAAATGCATAATGTATGTCTGAATTGTCAATATAAATAAGTCAGATAAAATTAAATTATTAGAAGAATTTTTCACTATGTAACAAAAAACAAAATTTGTTTAATTTACTGTTTGTATTTTGAGAACGATTTCCGACGTGGAAATTGAAACGTCAATAAACGTATTTTTATCTTTAATTGTGGCTTATTCCCAGTTTAATAGTAATTAATTTACAATGCCACAAGAAAATAGCTTCAGAACAATATTTCGAATTCTGGTCCTCTTATTTTTTTTCCACCGAAAAATAGTGCCCTCTAGCCGAGTTCAATTCTTATTAATACGACCATAGGAAGTTTGACCTCTATTTTTTAGGTTATTAATAGAAATCTGTGGTTTACCAGTAGGCATCTCTCTGGTAGACATGAAGTCATTTATAGTTATGAAGCACACAATTGCAATTGACTTTTTGCTTTGTTTAAAACTTAACCTTGTATGTTTGGCTTATAAGTATCTATTATTTATTTGTACGTAGTTATCATTCAATTGCGATTGATTTATTTTTATTCATAGAATATTATATTTCTCTTCGCCATTGTTAATTTGATTGACAGTTTAATCTTTCTTCAGTGATTTTCAATATCAAATCGGCCAAAAAGAGTGAAACGGACATTACTTAAATCTGCAAAATATACAGGGTGTCCCATTTAAATAAAAAATACCCCGGATGAATTTTGTGTAACGAAAAGTTTCACAAATATCGCCCTTTTCGTTTTAAAGATATTCACTTGGTTCAACCTTCTATCCCAACCCTATATAAATAAGATATCACAATATCGTATCAAGGACAATAAATGCCACCTACCTCTTAATTTGAATAGCGGCCTAATTGTTTTTGCTTTGTTCCATGGTATATCATTAATTATACAGTGAATGACACAACTTTGGTGCAATGCTGTCACAGAATAAGCGAAGTTTATTGGAGTAGTATCGTCATCATCTTCTAAGCTTACCGTTGGTTGTATGGGCTAAAATTTTTTTTTAATAATTGATCAATACATAACCATTTTTGTGGAAAACTTATATTAGACATACACGTTATAACATGTTAATTTATTTCGTTACATACCTGATATAAATAATTATGGCATATACAAACACATCCTGTAGGGTTAGTCAATACAATTAAATCTAGCGAAGAATCATGGATCCTTAATGGAACTACGTCATCTTCATACGTTGCAGATAAATTAAAAGTTGATAAATGAGGTAGATTAAGTGGGATGTTCAGCTAAAAGTTTAAAAAGTTTAAATAAAAACAAAGAAAGTGAGGCAGTAAAAAGGAATTATTAGGGATGAGTGTGAATCTTAGAGATGTTTGACTAAACACTTTATGATTTTGTCGATGATCAGGTTATCATAGTTAATGACAAAAATGACCTAAATATTCATACTGTGTCAACATTATTATTATTTAAAATATATATTACAGCAACTTGCAGCAACGTATTTCAATTATTTCTTATTTTCTTTGTTATACTAGGAAAGGTACAGAAAAATAACAACTGTGTTTAGTTTTATTAAAAGTATTTTCAACCAGCGGCGGCCGGCCAAGTGAAGTAGGTGAAGTTGAGGTTCACCAAAAAAATATAATTAAATTGAGACAAATAAATAAAATATAAAAGCAAAATTATTTCTAAATTCTGAAATTAATGATTTATTCTCTTTTAATTAATCTAAAAATTAAAAAATACAGCTAGCTTTATTAGCGGTGTGGTAGATACTTGACGGTCAAGTCCTGACCTGTGTCACTTGCTGTGTATGATTCAGGAATAGGTGAATATCATTTTTGAAATGCGAAATCCATCTGCATAAGCGTTCACGGTTGCTATGGCAACGTGACGTCAGCCTGTCACTAGTGACACTTGAGAAAAATAGCTGGTGCAGTTCCGTTAAAAAATATATTATCCGTCTTCACCCACTGACCACTAGTTGCATGGGTACCTATTTAGTATTTGCAGCGACAATATTTTGAAATTTAGTCTATTATATAGACATTTTTTATATATTATAGTGATGGTGTATAGTATAGTATTTATTAGTTTAGTTATTATATAACTCTATGTTTTTTTAACGAATTTTTAATGAGATTTGGGCGCGACGTAGGTATCAAAACTCCTTATGGCTCCGGCAAGCTTTCCTCATCTTCACCACTTTTTTAGGCCACGAACCGCCGCTGTCCTCAAAGTCATTTCTTTCAGAAATTTAGCTGATAGAACTGGATGAACTAGGAATTGTTAACCTTGCAATTTTAAACCTGATGATGGAATGTTTTATTCCGAGAACGTTTATTTTTTCATGTAGCCCTTTTAAAGGTTTTTTAAATATACCCATTTACAAAATTTAACCTCTTTTTTGTATATGTGGTATACGTGGTATATGTTTGTATACGTGGTATACAGCCAGCTACAGGAATTGTTTTCCTTGTGGATTTTGAACTAGGAATTAGCTGATATGTTCGAGGTGACAAGCATCGCAAAGACCCCTTTGACAAAAGCAACTTAGATTATGGTAGAGCAGCAATTTCCGAGAAAATTTGATGTAGCATCATACCGCGAAAAGAAACAATGTCCTTTAAAACAGTCTGCTCTACCTTTTCAATATCAGTATTAGTTATGAACTACTGGATCAGTTAAAGTACTTGACACACTTTCGAACGAATTTCACCCAGAACGGGGTGTCAGACAAGGATGTATACTATCTCCACAATTATTCAACATATATGGGGAGTATATTATGTGAAGAGCACTTGAAGGATGGGAAAAGGGCATCTCAATAAATGGTCATAAACTAAACAACCTACGTTTCGCAGATGACACAGCCCTTCTTGCAAATAGTCAAGCAGAGCTGATAGAACTTATTCGACTGATCGAAAACGAAAGTCAAATATTTGGTCTGCAATTAAACATATCAAAGACAAAGATCATGATAGTGGATAGACTACACAACAGTCATCCACACATAACCACAATTGACCGGTTCGAGGTTGTGAGCTCATACTTATATCTGGGATCATTAACCACAAACACAGGGTCATTACAAGAAGAGATTAAACGTAGATGTGATCCAGTAAAAGTTGCCACAGCAAAAATGACCAAAATATGGAAGGACTGTCAAATTTCAAGAGCGATAAAGATGAGGTTGATCAACTGCTTAATATTCTCAATACCGACCTACCGATATAAATCTTGGACTCTGAGACAATCGGAGAGAAGACAGATAGACGCCACTGAAATGTTCTGTTGGAGACGAATGTTACGAATTCCTTGGACCGACCGTAGAACAAATAATTCAATTTTAAGAGAGCTAAAAGTTAGTTAACGACTCTCTAGTAAAGTCCATCTCCAACAATTAAAATATTTTGGGCATGTTATGAGAGCAAACACAGAAAACATGGAAAGACTCATAATACAAGGAAAGGTAGAAGGCCGAAGATCACGGGGAAGATCCCTAACAAGATGGATAGATCAAATAACCAGAGACAGAGATTTCTGGACACGGACAATACACGACATCACGTCGACCACTACACTCCCCTGGGGGGTCAGGATTGAAGAGAGAGAATAGTTATGAAATATGTAAAACTAAATTTTACTGTCGTTTTTTAAAGTGTGAAAAAATTCTCTGCATCAGGGATAACCAAGCCAAACGCAACTTTTTGATCTACTGTTCGCTTAAGACACCATCCACCGCGACCTTAATTATAAAGTTAATAATAAGAGATAAGATATTATTACCACAGATTCATGAGGTTGATCATCATGAAATTGTAAACCTGTAAGCGTTGGAATCACTTTAGTATTATCATCCACAGTTATTTCTTCTCCTGCAACAAGTCCTCTGTTCCGATGCTTGTTGTGGATATAATATAGAGTTTGCTCACACGCATCCCATTGAGCCCAAAAAAAATTCTTTACTAGCAGTTCGCTGGTGAGTGATTCCTTTTTGATGGTATCATCCGAAGGTCTAATTTGGTACTGGTAAATACCTAAAACGTAAAATATAATACACTCGGTACCATTACATAAGTTAAGGTAAGTAGTGTAAAGATAAGTAATATCATGAAAGTGTTGCCTGTGTGAGTCCATTTCAAATAGGAAAAAAGAAATAAATAAGACTTACTCACAATCAGTTTAATTTAACTACCAAGACGACCGGTTTCGCTTTCTACAATTTGCAAAGCATCTTCAGGTCAGTCGGTACAAAGTTAATTAAATGATGCCGGTATAAGATTTATTAATGATTTGGAAAACATAGTTCAAACTATCCTGTAATTGCTGATGATGGGGGGATCTTCGGTTTTACTATTATAACTGTTTGATAATTAGCGGGGAACTTTCTTGAGAAGATAGATATTAACCAATGAAGTAGGAATAAGGTATAATGTGACACGATCATTAATGACGCTGAGTCATTGTACGTAGCGAAGTCGTTTCTCTATTTGAACAGTGGCACGACATACAGAGAGGAGGAGCGATTAATTACAGGGACCCGATCCGTCAACTGCGCATGTGCAATCTTTTAAATGACATCAAAAGTGACAACGAGGGACAATCTACAAACTAAAAAAATCTGAGCAAGTTTATAAAAACGATTAGGAATAAAAATAGGAAATTTTACAATATTTCTTTCTACAGGTACATACTTGTTACATTCATAACTAAAATATCGAGAATAAATAACTTGTACTCTGAGTAATAAGAAAGAAAATCACATTAACCTAATGTATATTGACGACTTTTATATTAACCTTCCAAGATTATTTATTTTGTTGTAGTATCTTATGGAAATTGTTAACTTTGCACCAGATAGTTTAAAATATTTAACGTAATACATGTTTATGAGTGAAGATAAGGATTATAATAAATTATTATATAAGTATTATTATAAACTTAAATTTATTTATTGTTGTTAAAAGTAAACAAAGTATTAATGAACTAAATTAAAATGACATAATATTACGGTTAATGGGTTAATCTTGTATGGGTTGGCAAAATCGTTGTCTTCAGGTGGATGTTTTCAAAAGTTGTCTCGTTCTAAAACGTGTTTAAAATAGTTTAATTCTTCAATACTCTTCCATAAAAAACTGAAGTAATGGCGGACATAAAACAGTCGAGTGTTTGTATTTTTCCAACAACTTTCATAATTTCTGTAAAATAAACTTCATTAATGTAGAAGTCCTTTCGGCTTGAAAAAAAGCTACTGGAAATCTTCCAGACACTTATTTAAATGCACATTTTCTCCACATTGCATCGGCGTAGAAAGCTTAGACTGATTTGAGAAAATTTTACCACATTCAAAACAGTTCACTGATATATTTACTAATTACGTAAATAGGGAACTATTCAAAACAATTTTTATTTGACAATGCAAGATACCGCTTAAAATTTTCATTTGAAGGTTCGAAATATTTCGAATGCAGTCGTTTCGCACATGCGCAGTTGACGGATCGGGTCCCTGTAATTAATCGCTCCTCAGAGAGGCACGACTTAAGAGAATTGCACTAAAATGCTTGAAATAGTTTACAGAAAATGGAACACTTTAACTAAAAAATACTAATACATATATTTGTATTTTAGGATTTTTACAATATTGTTCGTATGTATTTGTAGAATATTAAAATATATGTAATAGAGTAAATAGAAATAAGTCCTTACGCAATTTATAAACAAAAAACACTACATGCAACTGTACAAAAGACATATTTACCTTCTTGATGTATAAGAAGTAGAAATTTCAGAGATTGAGTCTCCACAGGTGAATTGAAATTCAAAAACTGGACAAACGTTTGGTTTTTTGATCCTTTTTTTATTATAAAAGTATTTTCCAGTAAATCATCTATCTTGTACAAGTAACTTCTATATATCAGCTCTTCAGTTTCTTCGCATTTTTCTTTTAAAACAAATAATAAGACCGTCCGTGCTGCATTAATGGAAGCTTGAACACAATCGACCTTCTTTTCAAAGGAGTAAAGTGGGGTTAAGGTATTTTCTTCATAATTGTATTCTCCTATGCAAGTTTGGGATTTATTTTCATCGGGGTTCGTTTGAACCCAGCTAAATAGAAATGATTCATCTCGTTCTTGACCAAGCAGTCGCCATTCGTTGTAGCTATCTAAAAAATATTAAAATCAATGTATTAATGCGATTTATTAACTCTACTTTCCGATTTATACAGGTACAGATATAGCTATTATCTACCACACAAGTCCTACTAACAGCTATCAAAATGATGAAAGGCTGTTATAAACACACATAGTTTTGAAGTATCTCTTGCTTTCTTGAAGAAAATCTTACGTCTCTAGATCATAAAAGGCTATACATTTTAAATATTAAGAACGAATGGGTGAAAAAAATTGAAAAATGTTAAACAGATACTTCGAAATATATTAACAATAATTTAGAATACAAGAACGATATGTGCAAACAATTGGAAAACACGAAATTTCCGAGATTGTAAATGAAACTAATAAACTAAAAGATAGAAAAAATAACATATATAGAGAAATTTAACAAATACATTGAACACGATGGGCAGAAGACAATAGATAGCCAAGAAATGAAGAAAAAATAATACATAGATGGCGAAACAACAAATTCATGGAAAAATAGATTGAAGTGCCAGAAAAAATAAATACACTAGCCCAAAATATAAAATTATACCAGAAACGAATAAAAGAAGAAAGGAATTTAAACCTAAAACAATAATGTGAATTTATAAAAAAATATATTGAAGAAAAACAGAACAAATACATTAAAAATAAAACAAAACCAATAAACAAACAGACTACAGCGAAATAATCCCCTCCTCAATAGACGAGATAGAAGCACCAGCCAAAAGACTGAATTAAAAAAAAATCAAGTCAATGGCTAGTGACAGACAATATTGATGTAGTACAAACCTGTTATGGGTAATAAAGTCATAGTCCCATTACACAAATGGAAGACCAACTCAAATGCAAATACTATTGGGCAATTAAATTGCTAAATACTGATTTAATATGATACAAATTCTTTTCTTATATTGTATACGAGAGATTTTGGGGGAAAAGGTGGGTAAAAAAATAAGGAAAAATAATAAAAAATAAAATAAAATTGAAAAAGAGATGACATATGTAGAAGAACAGAATGGCTTTCGTGCAGGCAGATCCTACATGGACAGTATATTCTCTCTAAAGCAAGTTATCGAGAAAAGATTAGCCCACAACCTTTCAACTCATATAGTCTTTATAGATCTGAAAAAGGCATACGATAGTGTACCACTTTCAATTCTTTGGGTAGCAATGGAAAAACAAGGAATAAGCAAAAAAATATACAAGCAGTACAACAGCTCTACAAAAATATGACAGCAAACATTAAAACTGGAAATAGATTAACTAGAGAAATTCCTATTAGTAAGGGCCTAAAGCAAGGCTGCTGCATAGCACCTACACTCTTCAAAATATATCTAAATGAGGCACTCTCACTGTGGAGAAGAAAGTGCTGCAATATGGGCATCCCAATCGGAGATGATAGATTGTACACGATACATTTCGCTGACGACCAAGCCATTCTAGCTAAAGACGAGAGTGATATAAGCTACATGCTTAGAAAACTGGAAGATGAGTACACCAAATGGGGCCTCACAATTAATATACAAAAAACTGAGTACTTAGTTGTAGGAGAAAAACCAGAAAGCCTACAAATCGAAATGGGAACTATAAAACCAACAGACAATTTTAAGTACTTGGGAGTCCAAATAACATCAAAAGCAGGAAGTAGCAAAGAAATACATTCCAGGATTGGCCAAGCAAGATCAGCCACCAGACAGCTACACGGACTATTATGGAATAAAAAAAATAACAAAAGAAAATAAAAAGAAGAATTTATAAAACAATAATAGTTTGTAGTAAAGTATTGTACGGCGCCGAACTCTGGGAAATAAACCAAAGAAACAAATCAAAAATTAAGGTCATGGAAATGAACTACTGAAGACGATGTTGCCAGCTCACTAGACTTGATAGGGTGAGAAACGAAGATATTCGGAGAGAAATGGAAATCGATCTAGACATAATAGACACAATCGAAGCCAAAAGACTTAACTGGTATGGACACCTTCAGAGAATGCCGGAAAATAGATGGCCAAAAAAAATAGAAGAATGGACTCCGCCAACTAGAAGAAAACGAGGTAGACCAAGACGATCCTGGAGAGACGATGTCGAAGATGCAATGACCGCCAGAGATCTAACAACTGAAGATTGCTTCGACAGAAAACGCTGGAAATTAGGATGCGAGAAGCGGCGCCAGCTGTAGAAGACTCGCTTGTTATATATTATAGGTGGGTAAAGGAGTAGAACATGGAGTTAGTTCCAATCTACTCCACTTAGTCTCTTCTACGCAAATCCTACTCTCACCTTCACGTTGGTGCCCGCTGTGAAACCGAGCAACCCAACTGGAGATCTTGTAACCAACCCGGGTGTAAAGTTGGGTCGGAAATGACGAGAGCGGGTGAAATGATCCTCCAAAAAGGAAGATTGGCGTTGGTCTAACTATCCAACCCTGTAAACCCACGTTATGAAAACTACAAAGAAAGAAGATGGACTGTTTAACCTACAACGAATTCGCAACCGAAATAGGACAATAATTTGAAAATGTGCACGTGGAATATAAGAAGCCTTTATTAACCTTTATCAATAGCTCGACTTATACAAGAAGTGCATAAAGTCAAAACAGACATCATTGCTTTACAGATGAGATGGGCTAGCTCGGAAATCCTGGAAAAAAAGAACAACAATTTCTACTACAGCGAAGACCTTATACGTCACGAATTTGGTACCGGATTTATTGTGAGCAGAAGAAAACAGCGTAATCGACTTCAAGGCTATTGATCATATAATATGTCGAATAAAACTTTGAAAGAAAAATTTGCATATAGCATTATTCAAGTAGATTCACGCCCCAATCGAAGAGAAAGGATTATGAAGAAGACATGTTCTATGAGACACTGCATCGGGAGTACGATAAGAGTCTAAAAAAGTATTACCAGAAGACCTTAATGCTAAAGTCGGAAGATAGAATATCTTTTCTCCTACCATCGGTAAAAAGAGCTTGCACGCAGACTCAAATGACAAAGGACTGAGACTCATAAACTTTGCTATAATCCAAAATATGGTAATAGGTGGGATACGATTTCGCTACAAAGAGAATTTGAAAATCTCCTGATAATGAAACTATTAACCAAACAGACCATAGAGTCATTGATGCAAGACACTGCTCCAACCTTTCAGATGTTAGGTCCTTCAAAGGAGCAAATATAGATAGTAATGACTATTTGGTTAAGTCACGGTTTAAAGAGAAGACCCAATAAAAAAAAAGGAAATCGGGAAATGGAAAGAAAGAATAAATATCCACAAACTAAAATATCCGGCAAAACAAGTGTATATAGAAAGCAAATAGAACATAAAATGAGGACAGAAAAAGTAAAAGAAGAAAAATATATTAACCAGCTATGGATGAAATACAAGATATTGTATCCAAGAATTGGTTGAATTATTGGGTAAAAGCAGGACAGACAAAAGGAGTCAGTGGTCAGTCAGTTAGCAACAAACAGCAAAAAACAGGCGTATCAAAAAACTCTTGAATCAGGTTATAGACGGAGAAAAACAAGAGTACAGACGTCTCAGAAAAGAGAAAGCGTATTCATTCTCACTCAAGAATTTAAGACAAAAATAAAAAGTTATAGAGACATTAACAGTGAAATTCTTGATAACAGAAACTCAGTTCTTAATGGATCGACACAACATTTTATTCAGCGATCATCTCAATTTAGACTATGTTGAAGAAGGGAATGCATTGTTGAATGTTGATGTAAACATATATATGTAAAAAACTTAAACATTGTTACTAAACATTCAACTATCTAAATAAAATATTATTTGTGTTAATAAGATTGCTTCACTCTCCCATAATATGTAAAGTCAGTAAACTTGTTGTAGAAAACAGCTTGTTGCCCCAATTTCTCCCATATTAGTGATATTTGGGTAGTAGCATTTGAATCTGGCAAGGGTTGTCTTCCGATACATCTTAACAGGTGTTTCTGATATTTGGTGCGAAATGGAACATACATTATCAGGCAATTGGTTTATAGATCACCCTCGTTGGGGATATCGGCCTCAACTTATGTTATAGAACATGACCATATTGGAGTGTTGCTGTAGGCATATTTTATGTAGTTGACAAGTTCATGCAGTATTTTACGTGACATATTTCCACCAAACCATTCCACATATAGACTGGAATGATTCCTGAAGCCCTGAGGGAATACAACATCAGGCCTTGAACCACCTAATCAATAGGGGTAGCCAGTTTTTATTAGTCATAAATACTCTGTAGGAAGTAAAAGAGTAGCTATTGGTATCTGTTCCCTGATTAAAAGCCTTATGGGCAAAGGGTTTTGATTTTTTTATTACGTTGTTCTTCATGGTTACCTTCTTCGTCATTGATTTCCTCATCTTATGGACTTAGAAATACATATAAGCTGAATACCTTCGCTAGTTTTATTGTAACCATTTTATTAAATGTTTATGCGTGTCCAAAAAATTCCTTTTTTGAAATTATATATAGGTACGAGTATTTAAAGTTCTCTTCTTCTTTCAAGTGCTATCAAAGGACGTACTTATATTTTTAACTCACGTGTTTTAATAACGAAAACTATTCCTTCACCTGAAAAATCTTTTTGTTCAAGGCTATTTCAGTACAATACATTACAAAATTTTATTATTGCAGTCCTAATCAATAGATACCGGATATCTATCTCCCATTTTTACAATGAGAAATTTTATGTAAGCATTGAGATCATAATCTACATACGTTTAAAAATAAGATTTGGCAACGTGGTGGTCCCGTTGTATGTGTACAAAAACAAAAATCGATAACCATATTTCTCGGCATTGCCTCCTTTAATGAGAATTGAAAAAACTGCATTTATGATAAAAACACATATCCGATAACCCTTACATAAATAATAAGTAAATGTATGTTTGAATAACTTACCGACATTATTTTCTGTGGAAATTATCGATACCAGTTTAGAAGCGAGGTTATCTACCGACACCATCGTCAACCTCTCGACTTGCTCCACAGTCAAAAACCTCGCAGTGGAGTAGTTAAGGGAATATTGTAAACATGATAAAAACGATTCATAATTCAAAAATATAGAGTTATCTATATAAAATAAATGCGTACAGTTAATGCGATATATTTTCCTAATATTTAAATAAGTAAAAATGTATTTAAAATTATGTTGAATCTTTCGGTACTTTTTAATTGTAGAAAAGTCGATCCTTATAAACATCAGTAATTGCAAGAAATATTGATAAACCATAGTCTTTTTTATTATGGATATCATGTTTACAAAAGTTATTCAATTAAGAAGTATATCTTCTTGTTTAAACCTCGTTACCACAAACGGCTTATGAGGTTTCATATCGTCCCTCGTATGGTAAAGAAACGAATCTGCAAAATTGAAATTTTACAGGAGAGCTAAAAAAACATTTTAAGTTAATGTGAAAAATAAGGATATTAACCTAAGTTAACGACATTTTTGTATTAGATTCTATAAAGGTGTCTTTATATAATTACCTTAATCTAAATTGCAATATCCTTTATCAAAGCATGAAAACGCAGATTCGTTAGTTATCTATTGCAAAATTATCCCTTAGTCCAATATACTATTCTAATGTAAAGCGATTATATGCGAAAAAATTGATATACTTCACATAATAATAACATAGGTACTAACTACTAATAAAAATTTTTATTGACAACTACATAATAGGAAAGAATATGTACAACATAAAAAAAATATATGAAAATAACAAAACCATTTCACATTAAACACAAAACTCAAAAATTACAACAAAAATCAATATAATTATGTTTTGTCGTCATATTCATATTCTTCTGAAATATCTAGTTCAAGCAGAGTATCCCTTATCAGAGTTTGGGTAGGAAGGCGTATGCACGTGGAATCTGTAGATCTCCGCATAACTTTTCCTATTCCTGTACATCGTCCAGATATCTGAGTTTAGGTCGCCTCCTTCTTCTTCTTCCGACCGGCCTGTTTAGCATAGTTATTTTAGTGGGATCACTCTCATCCATCCGCATAACGTGGCCCACCCACCTTAGGCGGTTTATTTTGATGGTTTTCACAATATCTGCATCACCAAAAAGTCTATAGAGTTCAAAGTTATATCGCCTTCTCCACAGACCCTGTTCGTTTACTCCGCCAAATATGGTCCTCAATACTTTTCTTTCAAAGACTCGTAGTAACTCTTCATCTCGGGTCGTCATTGTCCATGTTCCCGATCCGTATGTGAGCACTGGGCGTATTATTGTTTTATAAAGTTTGCACTTTGTTGCTATTGACATACTTCTCGCTCTTAGTTGAGGGCCCAGGCCGAAATAACAGCGGTTAGCCACGCATATTCTTTTTTTTATCTCGTTGGATGTGTTATTTTTGTAGTCTACCAGTGATCCTAAGTAGCAGAATTCTTCTACCATTTCTATCGTTTCGTGTTGCACCTCTAAGTTATTTTGTTGAATTCTTGATATGGCCGGCATATATTTAGTTTTCTGGATGTTAATCAGAAGTCCGATGTTTTCTGCGGCGTTTTTGATACGTGTGAAAGCCTCCACTGCTTCATTTTGGGTTCTTCCAATTATGACGATATCATCAGCGTATGCCATTATTTGTATACTACGGGTATATATCGTACCTTTTAAGTTTATTCCCGAATCTCTCATAACTTTTTCTAACGCTAGGTTGAACAGCGTGCACGATAGCGCATCTCCCTGGCGCAGTCCTCTGTTGGTTTTAAACGGTTTTGAAACATCCCCTTGTACGCGCACTTTACATTCGACTTTCATCATTGTCATTTTAATTAATTCTACCAAACCTTTTGGTATTCCTAATTCGATCATCGCCGAATATAATTGGGACCTGTCAATAGTATCGTACGCTGCCTTAAAGTCTACGAAGATGTAATGGCAGTCTATGTCGTACTCCGTCGTTTTTTCTAATATTTGTCTGATAGATGATATGTGATCAATGGTAGATTTGTTTGTCAAGAAGCCTCTTTGATAGGATCCTATTATATTGTCAGTATACCGTGCCAGTCGTTCGTTAAGTATGAGGGACACAATTTTGTATGCTGTATTAAGAAGGGAAATCCCTCTAAAGTTGGAACATTCAATAACGTTTCCTTTTTTGTGTATGGGGCATATAATTCCAGTATTCCAATCTTCTGGTAGCGCGCGTTCTTGCCATACCTGTATTAGTAGTTTGTGAAGGAGGGTTACAAATGTTTGACCGCCACATTTAAATATTTCTGCTGGTAGGTTGTCTGCTCCGGGTGACTTGTTTCTGGCTAGAGACTGAATTGCTTTGTTTATTTCTCCCAAAGTTGGTAGTTCAGTATCCTCGTGTTCTATTTCTATATCATATCTACCTTCAGCTCTACTTTCTCCATTAAGTAGCGTACTAAAATGTTCCTGCCATCTTTCTAGTACTTCCACTCTCTCGTTTAAAAGAATTCCGTTAAGGACCTTGACTTGGTTCGCTTGTGGTTTGAAAACTTTTCTTTTTGTGTTAACCTGTTTGTAAAATTTTCTGTATTCGTGTTCTCTATTAAGGTTTTCCATTTCTTCGAACTCTTTATTGATTTGTTGCCGCTTTTTCTGTTTGTGTTTTTGTTTTTCCTCTCGTCTCTTTACTCGATATTCTTCAACATTGCTCCTAGTCCTTCTGTTGATCATTTTCATATACGCGTCGTTCTTCTCTTTCGTTACTATTGCATCTTTAAGGTTATAAATTGTCATATTATAAATTGCAAGTTTTCTAACATAAAAGAAGGAACCACTAGGGCCTTTCGGAGTAGAGAGAACAGCTTGAAGATCTGACTAAAAAGCTAAAATATTGTTTTGCTCTTTGGTAATTTTTTATCATTATATCTTAGTTTTCGAGCAGCTGCTTTCCGATTTTAATGTTCATTATAAGATTCTTCATCATTCTTACCATATTTAGCACGTTCTTCATTGGCAATGCATACTTTACAACGATCTCTTTCTTAGGTTTATGAAATTTAAGTTTATATTCCCTGAAAATCTTTCGATATTGTTCAATGGAAACTGCTGTACGTTGAGCTTCCAAAAACTTTTCCTTATACAAACTGTACATAATTGTAACAGTCAACGTTGATTCTAAAATACATACTTTTTTACGACAGTAATGAGACTTGACACTTGGAAAGGAATGTATGTGATTCCTAATCAAAGTATCAGCTTCTCTTTTAATTTTGTTCGGTGGTGCTTTTTTTCCTCTTATATCTGGAAGAAGTATACTTCTGGAATTTATGTTTTTTTAAAGCTCCCCTTACTAGTCCCTCAAAAATATTTAATGCATCTAAAAAAATCTCTGCATATAGTGTGCTTCTCTCCATTTGATGTCAGAGAATATCTTTTTGTACTTGATTTTCTTAGCGATGCAGCTGTGGTTCTCTTGTTTACTGGTTTTATTGTAACATGAGTTATAATAAACTGACGCTGCTCTATCAGAGACAGTAAACTCCGAAATTCTTTATAAATTCGTTCTCTTTCTAGTTCAGGAATTAATATAGAACATTTATGTTTATTTCGTCCCACACATCTCGGTAATTTCAAAGGTCTCGCACTAATGACTTTTCCTTTGCTGGTTAAATATTCCTTACCTCGTAATTTTCTGTTTTCTTTTGTCCTGAGTAACCAGTTTTGATTTTTTACGGCTTGCAGGTGGGGAAGCTTCTGTTTTATCTTGTGGACTACCGTGACGGTCAAGTAAATGAACAGCGTCTTCAAGAGGAACATTTTGCTCGGCATTGATATCTCCAATTTTATTGCTGTTGACACTGGTACCTCCAATTTCATTGCTGGATTGATAATCTGATTTTCTCACCTTTTTGCGTCGACGAGTGAAAAACTTATTTTGGTATTTTTAGTACTAATACCTAAATAAAATTACATAGAAAATATATTTCTGTGTGGTGTATGTACTGTTACATTCGGAATCAGAACAATCATCTTCATATTCATCACTTTCATTAGACCAAATGAATATTGTTCTTCAGCCCCTTGCTGTAGTTCCTTATCTGGAAGTACTTGCCATCTGTAGAATTTTATTTGTCTTGGAGCTGACATTTAGAGGAGATCCATAATTTACACCAATTTTAACAATTTTCCAAAACGTCACGTTTTAGCTATTTAAAGGATACCCATTAATGTGAATTTTATTAAAACTTTTAAAACAATAAGCTACAACTATTTAAAACTTCGTTTTAATCTTATTGTGTATCCATCCTATACACAATAAGCAAGTTAAAGCTTGCATTATTACACTTCAATAATCCGAACTAAACTAGTAAGGTAACTAACTCCCCGATAGTTGGATTGTTTTACGCATGGGTGTGGTTTTGTTTACATTTTTTACAGTACGTTCAATAATTTAAAAGTTTTAATTCTCTTTATAGAAAACTCGCGAATGTGCAAGATTCGTAATTTTGGACCAAAGGTAAACTTACGAATCTAATTATTCGTAAGTTCACTGTAGCAAAAGTTGAAAGACGAGCACATACGTTACTTTGAACCAGTTAATTGTGAGTTTAATATTGAAGATACTGTTACGATAATAAATATTATGGCGTATAAAACTGTAAATATATTATTACTAATTCTTTTCTATTTCTAGTAAATTCGGCGCTCAGTTGAAAATACTTGTTTACCTGCCGGTAGAATTCTCTAGTCGTTCGCCGAAAGACCAGTCCATGAGTCACCTCATAATGGGTGCAAAGTCATCGACTCATAGCCAGATGATTCTAGTCTAGCGGTATTGGATATAAATAACGGAGGATTTTCATTGAAGAGAGCAGTTAGTAAGAAGATAAATTCGCGCTCGCGTATTGAAATGTACGGTCGTAATAAATTATTGTAAAATAAATTAGAACAAATAAAGACTTTAATAAATTTGTAAATGTTATAAATAGAATCTTTAGTAAATTAAATTAAGAACAATAAATTAGAATTAATAAAAACGTTATAATACATATTCAATAGTTT